GACTATGGGGTTGTGGCGCTCATCTCTCTTTCAGGCCAAGGGAACTGGTGTTTGTCCACAGACAACTTTCCGGGTCATGTGGCCAGCATGACTAAACCACTTCTGGCTCAACGGAACACTGTGACTGAAGCCAGAGCGCACGGAAACGCCGTTTACCTTCCCACCACAGCGGTACCTATTTATCTACTTGCACTGGTGTGCTTTTGAACTGCTAGGTTGGCAGGTGCTGGGACAGAGCAATTGCTCCATCACGGGGATTCAAACGGTCGACCTTCTGATCAGCAAGCCCAAGAGGCTCGGTGGTTTAGACCACAGCGCCACCCGTGTCCCATGCAAGTAGAGCCTAGAAGACCCCAGAGGACAGCCCCTGCCATTTCCTCCTCGGGGTGGGAGGAGACCAGCAGCATCCCCTATTCACTGAGAGGCAGCTGCAGAGGCAGCGTTAGGAGTTGGGGTGCTGCCGAGGAGAACACAGATCTGGCTTCCAAGAAATGTGTGGCAGTGGTGGCAGCAGCAGGAGAAGCATCCCTTGGAGGTTGCGTATGCTGCCTCTGTCAATTCTGCTGCTTGTAGAGATTGTCTTACCTTGCCTCATGGGTGAACCAACCCTGCAATGGCTGACCTTGCTTATGAAGGGTTGGAGGAGGGAAATGAGATACCCAACTACCATTTTCAGGGGCATTCTACATATGGGATCTTGCCTAGTTTGGTCCTTAGCTAGGTATAAGAATGAGACTCAATAGGGGGTTGTGAGTAGAAGACCAGCTGTCCCTTTTATTGCGCATTCATGGTTAGTTGCACTCATGATTTTATCAGGGAGGTTATATGCAAATCCACTTTCCATACTGTTTGCAACTGCAAAAGTTTCAAGGTGTGGGCATACCGCATCATTTCCAGTTGGTTCATGCCCTGTAACTTCTTGCTGAAATCTTGTAACTTTTTATGCCACAAATGCTCCTGGATTCATGTTGTCTGACTTTTGTTATGCTATAGTGCAAGAGGGCCCCCCACCTGATGCCAATAATTCAATAACATTGGGGAAGCATTGCAGAACAACTAATAAAGCAGAATAGTGTGTGGGCCATCCAGTATAAATCTACCCATAATGCACAATTATTGTATCAATTATATGTTATAGCATACACTCGCCAAAACACAACACCCACCAAGGGTGCCAACTTGAATAAAATATTGGGGGGGGCAGGTAAGCCCCGCTTTGCATAATCGATCACAAGACATCGGGGGTGGGGAGAAAAACAAATGAAAATCCATCTCTTTACTCTGCCCTTTGGCAGTTAAGACAGGATGTTTTGTGGGACTCGCCTCTATTGCTCAATTTGTTCTGTTCCGGCTGGAACAGTTTAAACTTGTTTTTAAAACTGTAACTGTTCTGTCTTTCTTTATATTTGTGTGTTCTGTTGTTCTAGCCAGCCTTGCGATGAAAAGGTGGGTAAGGAATCTCATAAAGAAATAAGGAAATGGTAAAAGAGGCCATAAGCCACGAGGCATGTTTAAAAGAGAGGATCCCGCATAAAAGGGGGATAGTGGCAAGAAGCAACCCTTTGTGTGGCTGCCGAGACAGATGGAAACTCAGAGGTGAGCAGACATGTGGGTGGAGAGGCGGTGGCGGCAGATGCAACAAGCCTGCTGCTGAATCTGTACATGGTTCCTCCAGCTGGCTGCAGCCAACGCTTATTGTGTTATGTGCAACATGAATAATCTCAAGGTCCCAGGCATTGTGTGGAGGAGATTTCATCCCTGAGGGATGTGTGTGTGTATATGTATTGGCATTCACACACAAAAGGAAGGCACATGGCCTCACAAACTACAGTCTCTTTTCTCTATAATTGTCTTTAAAAAAAATAAAATGTCCTGCTCATATGCCTTTAATAGCAACCTAACACGGGGTGGGGGGGTAGACTGCTGTTTTATCACGGGTGTATTCTGCAACCTGTTACTGACTGTGGGCTTGTCCACACTTCCACTTGTCTTATGCCTAGAAAGCTTTCTGTGCACAGCTTTGAGTGATTTTCTGTTTGCCCCTCCGCTTTCCACACTCTTTAGCGCTGAATCAGAGCAAGCATCAATCCGCAGAAAACCCCGTTGATGTTTGCTGCTATTCTGCTGTAAAGATTTTCATGGGGGGAAGTGGTGGGACAAGCAGAAGTCTGGATGAGCCCCCAATTATAGAGCATTAGTGGTGGCTTTCTTCTGCATCATTAGTTGTTCTGTGGTGATTCCACAACACTACCACGTTAATGCTGTCTAGTGGGGCTACAGCGCAACAAAAGGAGGATAAAAGAAACCCAGAACGTTTGTGGTTTGAAAAGTTACAGGACTTCAGCAGGAAGTTACAGGATGTGCACTGATTGGGAATGAAGCAGTGTGACTGCCCCCAAACGTTTTCAGGTGCAAGCAGTATTGAAAGTGGGATTGTATGCAACCACCCCAATAGCATCATGAGCAGAAATAATCATGAATGTGCAATAAAAAGGACATGGGGGGACACACATAGAAATGTAGCTGTTGGAGCCCCTTCAGATATCCTTATCGTTGTGCACTCATCATGATTTGTACTCGTGATGCTGTCAAGGTGGTCATAGGCAATCCTTCTTCATATACCTCTGTGGGGAATTCCACAAATCAAGGCCTGCCACTACAGACTGGGCCCATTGGGCCATAGAACACCCTGCTGGCATTCTGGTGGGATCGCCCCATTTGATCTACGTCAAGGGGAGATCCCTGCACCCAGGATCAAACCCTGAAGGAGTAATCAATCAGCAAGCAGGCAGGTTGATTTAGGATGCATACCCAATGCCTATGCCAAAATCTACTACATCTGTAATCAATGAAGTTGTGGCCAATTTTAATCCCAGATTATTGTTTTGTCATCATTTTTGCTATTGCAGAACCTTCACCTGGGTTACCGGACCAGTGTGCTTGGACGTAGAAAAGCCCTCTCCTAAAATGTCATAATCTGCACTTCTGAGGGTGGTGAAACACTTCTCTCGTGATCTTAACACCTGAGAGCATCTGTAGTGATGGAAGTAGTCTTTCAGATATTCAGGACCTAAGTTGTGTAAGGCTTTAAACACCAATATGAGCACCTTGAACTGGGCCCAGAAACAAACTGGAAACTACGGTAATTATTGTAGTTACTGCTGCCAAGTACACAGGCACACTCCTCAGACTTGGAGCCACATGTATTATGTAACTGGAAGATATTAGACAGAAAATGTACAGTGAATACTATCAAACAGGAGAAGTGTGAGTCTCTCTAAAGGATCTTAACAATGTGGTGTTGAATTGAAAAGTACCCCTTTTGTTGTTTTGTTCCTAATCATTTGGCCCAGGGCTTCCCCTATTCTGGCACTGTTGAAAAAGCTTTAATTTCATACAACAGCTTCTGCATCTATGTGAGAGCCTCCCCCTATGTATCTGACTCCCCCTTTTCTTTTCTTTCTTTCTTTTCTTTCTTTCTTTTCTTTTTTCAGATAAAGTGAGAATTTCAGGGTAGGTGAGAAATGTCCAGTCAGTGCCAGACAATCTCATCCCCTTCCTCCGAGGAATGTCTTCTCATGCTTGTCGTATTCTAATACAGCTCCCCCAAAATGCACTCTAAAGTAAATCTGGGATCAACACTCTCAGAAACATGTCCACCCCTCCTCCTCTGAGGCATGACACATTGTCATTGGTGCCATTTGACAGTGAAGTCACCTGGTGGATTAGGACACCCTGGAGTATTTCTGGAGGGTGCTTTGCCTTTCAGAGAGATTTTTCTCATCAAGCGGGTTGGGAAATAACTTCATGGTTTCCAAGAGGAGCTCACAACACTGTAAGTTTTCATTTTTAAAAAAAAAACCTGCATCTTGTAGACAGTGAAGCAGGGAAGAGAGAAAGGAGGAGTTCTTGTGGACTGTGCTTTGAAATTAGAAAAAAAAGCATGGATTGAAACCCAGGAGGACTTGTTTAAACTTCCCTTTTCTTTGATCTTTATTTAATCTGAAGGACTCTTAACACCAGCAGTAAAGGTTATATAATTTGCCTTATCATTATGTGACTTTTTCAAGATGAATGCAATAAATCTTTCATTGGACTCAGTGTAAATAGGTAGTCAGTTGGACATCCAGGCAAGTTTTATTTTGCTAGTCACTTTTACCATAGTATTTTTCTTAGTAGCGTTTTGGCTTACCCATTGGCAGTTGCAAACTTCATGGGACTCTATTCTTAGCTGAGTTGGCTTGCAGAATTTTCTGAAGTGGTTGGAAGAATGTAATTACAGAGCTGATTTATCAAGGGTGCATGGTGGGTGTCCCATGTGGTCTTTGAAGGACTTTAAAATGTTGATGCCTTGAGATTGTATCAGGAAGATGGAAGGATGGCAAAGGCTTTAGTGGGGCTTTATTAAAACCAGTGGGTGTTTTGCCATTGACATCTGTTGGAGCAGGGTTTCACCTGATTCATAAAATGTTCAACCAATTACAAGGAGCCGCCAACATTTCTTCCTTCACAATATGATGTCTGCTGCCTGTCCATTCTTATTATCAGCGAGCTAGTGGCTGGGAAAAGATGTGTAGTGAAAATGTATGGTGATTGCATTTAGACATTTAGAGAGAGAGAGAAAGAGAGAGTGTGTGTACAGTGTAGTGTGTGGGCATGTGATTCCCCCTTTTAAAGCATTTCTCCTTTGGCTTGAGAAGAATAAAATATCTAGTCATCAGCAGATATTAGAATTAACTGATTTTGGGCAATCAGTCTCCCACAAAAAACAAACTGGAATAGCATGACTTCTCAATACAACCATAATTATGTCTGAATCTAGATTAAGAAGATTCTAGGTAGCAAATGGCTAGAGTGATATCACGGGTGCAATATTTATGAATGGCTTTTTGGAGACTGGAGCTCCTGACTACTAGTGTGTACATGCTTCCTATTTACTCTGCATCCATTGCACCCCCACTGCTAGCTTGGGAAGCCGTGTTCACCCGCCATTAGCCACAATCTATATTTATCTCGTATTGATCCTGTCGTTTCTTGTGGAACGCTGCATTTTTATGTGCTTATCCCCAAAGCAGCTTCAATCTGAATTGAGAAAAAGAATGGCTTAGCTGTGTTCTAAGGCAGTGATGGGTACACAGCCTGCCATTCTGAGGACAACCACAGCACACACAAACTTGCTCTTCCCATGGCCCAGCGTGTGATATTCTTGCCAGACATGGAGCTGGGGTATGAGATGTTTCCAGGGTGATAAATCAAAAAGGATCAGAGCAGCCCACGTAGAGTTTTGTATCTGGCCCTGCTGTAAAGAACATCAGCCGGAGAATCTATTTTGCCTTTCCTAAAGGATCAGAGATAAATGCCGTGAAAGGGAGGGATTAGGAAGAAGCAATTTGCCATTTGTGCACAAGCCCTCCTACAAGATGTTCACAAAGGGAGGAGGGGGAAGATTAACCTGGATACTAACCCGGAGGTGGGTTGCCATCTGACAGCATCAGGATAAGAGCATTACCATGGACAAGATTGCATTAGGTAAAATTAACCATCTGACGACGTACGCAACGTCTTTACACAATGGATTAACTCTTCGACTGAAATAGGGACCTGTCAGAGCCAATTAGAAAGCGCCGAGTTTGACGTTGAAGTAGGGAGAGAAATGAAGGTTGGAGGAAAAAAGGACACGCAATTGCACAGCACTTTTCAAGGAATATTTCACTGCTGACACCTGCACTGGTTCGCTCATCCCAGGACTGTTTTTTCCAATAACAACAGGCAGTATTAGTGGCGGAATTGCTGTCTTACATTATCTGAGAGGTAAGTCCCCAAGGGATTTAAAGGAGTCCTTGAAAGGCATCAATCCAAAAGTTGAAACGTGAATTGAGGGGTTCAGTCGCGGGCACTTGATACAAGACAGTGATGTTGGAAGACCAGGATCAGTGGCTTGGGATGAAGAAATCGGCTGTAACGTTGTGTGCTACCCAACTTGATGAATTCTACAGAGAAACTTACTCAGTAGCTCTGAAGGGCATTGGTGGAGAACAGAGTGGGGCATTTCTGCCGTTGGTGGGAAAGGATTGCTAGCCCCTTTTCCCCGCTGGTCTGTTACTGACAGCAGGTAAAAGAAGTGGACCATTGTATTTTTTTTCCCTGACTAGATGAGATGCATGCATTGATGACAGGGTGGTGGTGAAGAAATAGGAAGGATCATTTGTGGCCACTGCTAGATCCCCTTTCTCTCTATTCCTTTTAGTATTGAGCCGGGTGAGAACTCAGTTTACAGGAACTCCCCTTGACTACAGGCAGCACATCTCTTTGTCAGCTACAGTACCCTTGCTCTGAAATGGAAGCAACATTTTATGAATCCTTCAGGTGGTACCTTCCTTCCCCTTTGCTTTCTAAAAGAAGCAGAGAAACTGGGGACAATCTGTTTGGAAATAGCATTGGGAACCTAGGAAGCTCCCTCCTAACAAGTCAGATCATTGGTCCAGCTAGCTCAGAGCCATCTACTTACGGAATGGCAGGGGGGCTCTTGCATCCCAGACAGAGCTCTCTCCGAGCCCTATAGATGCTGGGGATTGAATCTGGGTCCTTCTGCACGCAGAGCAGGTGCCCTGCCGCTAAGCTCCAGCCCTTCCCCATTGCTTTATGATTCCTTTCTATACCTCACAAGACTACAATCCCCAGCTCCCTTAACAAGCTACATCTTCCAGGGTTCTTTGGGGATCTTATATGCTGTATATGCACAGTGTGTACATACATACATGGACATGGTCTTGCTGTGTGCATCTTAATGCCTTTCTAAATTTGTGGGTTCAAGTCTCTTTCCCTGAAAATTTCCTGATGTTTTGTTCGCTCAGGGGTACATCCCACATTTTCAATGAAACTCAATCCAGGCTTCTCAAGAGCATCCTGTCAGCTGTTTATTTAAAAAGGTTTTCCAGCCAAATGTTCCTCTTGCTGGAATTGTTTACCACAATGACTGTTAAAGTATGTAATTTGTAACCATGGATGTAGTTTGGGCATATGCAATCTCTGAAAGCAGCAGAATCAGTATACAACATGAAAACCCTAAGAACAGAGTGGTTTCCCTCCCCCCCCCCATCCTTTGTCACTTCTTTAAATAACACACACACACACACACACACACACACACACACGTCCTTAAGATGCTACAGGTCTGTTCGTGCTAATGCAAACTGGCAGAGGTCCATTGGCTTCAGCAAAGAATCTGATCCCAGAATGGGATTTGGCTGTGCCCCAAATTTCCTTGATCAAATTGTTTAGACTTTCCTCTTGAATTTCCTAGCTCTCAAAAAATGGAAATAAAGCATTTTTCCTAACTCAACACAACATGAAGAAAGTCTAGGAGCTTACTGGAAAACATGCCAGTTGGTTTAATGTACTACACCTAGCAGAGCAATCCCACGCAGAAAACCACCATCAGTTATGAGGAGCTTACTCCAGAGGAAGAGTGAGTCCCATTGAACTGAATTGGACTTACTCCCAAGTAAACATACTTAGGAATGTGCAGCTAGTCATTAGCTATGTCCAAATGCATAATGTAACTCCTAATATGGCTTGCAGGTCTATGGTGATAGAAGACATGAACTGAAATTATTTGCAGATTTCTCACTTTGGTCTGATCACAGCATTTGGCAGAACCACGAGCAACTACAAATCTTCCAATGTTAAATATTTATCAACTATACAAGATACATTAAAGTGGCATGAAAAGAAGCAGATTGTTCGTTTATGAAGTTATTACAAGTTGCTCCTCTTGAGCAATGCGATTGCTGAAGCGTCTTTGGAATCTCATAAACAAGCTGCATATAATTATTAGCAACAACGAACCATAATACATTTGTTAAGCAATTCTGTTTCGTTCTTCATTTCAAGAGCAGATCCCAGCCTTTTACATACAGTACATTGTTGGAATAAAAAGTCTTAGCCACCATTTCAGAAATGTTTTCGAGGGCAAGCAGTACCCTGCTCTTTGTTCTTCAGGTAACAGTCGTTTTCTTTGTGAAAATTCTACCTGCATGTTTTTATAGGCTAGAGACATAAAAATATCCCACTGCTGTGGAGAGAGATATGAGGAGATATTAGCAGGCTGCGCCAAGGAGATGCCGTATGGTGCTCTGACATAAAGAGATTAAGCACCAGCTCTTATGTCTGGGCTAATTTTGTCCTCTGACATCAGGGATCAGCTTGAGAACAAGCCATGAGAGAAGTCTAGAATGGGAGTTGCATAATGCTTATGCATAGCAGAAGGGACAAACATGTGACTTCACATGTGTGTGAGGGAGAAAGAAGAAAGGACAAAACCTTTCCCTTTGGCACTTAAGCATAGAGGCCATTTTGACTGGGAAGGTGGCTTTGGCCTAATGGGCAATGAAAGCACCCAATAACTGGTTTTTGGTTTTTGGTTTTGGCAGTGTGTGAGCTAGGGTGGACAAAATCTCTCAGGTTTTTTAACCTCAAGCTTCCCAATTTTCCTAACTTAAGTTCTGTTTTCCGCATTTCTCCATCCGTTTACAGCAGGCATCCCCAAACTCAGCCCTCCAAATGTTTTGGGACTACAACTCCCATCATGCCTAGCTAACAGGACCAGTGGCCAGGGATGATAGGAATTGTAGTCCCAAAACATCTGGAGGGCCGAGTTTGGGGGTGCCTGGTTTATAGTGTATGCAGTTATTTATTTATTTTGCCTCATGAATAGCCATCAGCATTTCAGTGTGCCTTTCTCTCAAAATAAGACAGTTTGTTATGCAGTTTTGTCTGTTATGCATATTTTTTTGCAAACCATTTCCCAAATATATGCAGCTTTGTACACGTTATTTGGTTGGAGAAATTGCACTGAGAAATTAGGAGACGTGAGAATGTCAAAGGACAGCTGCATTTTCCAGAGAAGCAGACACGGAGCAATGGATCCAAACTACAAGAAAGAAGATTCCACCTAAACATTAGGAAGAACTTCCTGACAGTAAGAGCTGTTCGACAGTGTAATCTGCTGCCAAGGAGTGTGGTGGAGTCTCCTCCTTTGGAGGTCTTTAAGCAGAGGCTTGACAACCATATGTCAGGAGTGCTCTGATGGTGTTTCCTGCTTGGCAGGGGGTTGGACTCGATGGCCCTTGTGGTCTATTCCAACTCTATGATTCTATGATTTTAGTTTGCATATTGCTTCAGGAAGTGTTGATTCAAACTGAATTCCTTCTGCCTCCATTGTGTTGAGACAAACCCCACAGATGACAAAGCAGTGGACCTGCTACTTCAGCCAACAGAAAGTCCTTTTAGTCAAAATTGGTACATTGGTTCACAACCAATGGATAGGGAGTCATAAGCGGACAGCACCTTAGCCATTTTTTGTCTTGTTTAGGATTTTTTAAAGAAAATATGAAAGATTGGATGAAGGGACCAGATGTGAAGCACTCCTTCTCCCTTAGGAGATGTATGGAAGATGAAATGTCAGCAGTGGAACCTTAATCACCCTTGCGTGAAAAGCTGCCCATTGCAAAATTCCCGCTTTCTTTCAGAAGTTCAGAAGCCCTGCCCTTTTTTGCCCCATTTTTGATCACACTAGTTCTCAGAAAGGAGCAGGCAGAAGAAGGGGCTAAGGGGGTTCTGGGTTGAAAAAGTTGAAGACTTTAGCTTCAGTCTAGCATATGGAGGTCCAAATCCTATTTCAGCAGTATGTTCACCAGGCTGCCTTGCGTGAGCTTAGAACAGTGGCAGACCTACATTTGGGGGGCCCTGGAGGTTGAACTGTCATGGGGGCCCCTTCGCAACCAGCAACGAGGTCTGGCTAACCACTGCTATCTTCTTCAAATGGCTTGTTTCATGACAGATCACCACACTTTTACAACATCTGTGGTACTGACTCTAAAACTTCAGGATTGTTGAAATATATACTATGCAACAAAAAAATTAATCTGAGTCGTGCGACTCAAATTGGGTGTATTAGACCCCAAAATTTTAATCAATGTGGACAAAAGCTGCTTCTGGGGCCCCTCTGGGTTCAGGGGCCCTGAAGTTTAATCTTTATTAGTTTCATAGTAGATCTGCCCTGGCTTAGAGATTGGATATACACAGGCAAACACACACACACACACACACACAACTTCCATCATTGCTGACCTTTGACTATCCTGGCTGGTGCTGATGGAAGTTAGAGTCCGAACAACATCAAGAGGCTGAAAGGTTCCCCTTCCCTGCTATGTAGGAACTAGAGCACACTTCTAGCAATCAGTATGGCAAAAAGCATCAAGCATTTGGGCTGCTGTAACTGCAAGTGCTGTTGAGACGCGGGTGGCGCTGTGCGTTAAACCACAGAGCCCTAGGACTTGCCGATCGGAAGGTTGGCGGTTCGAATCCCCGCGACAGGGTGAGCTCCCGTTGCTCGGTCCCTGCTCCTGCCAACCTAGCACGTCAAAGTGCAAGTAGATAAATAGGTATCGCTCCAGCGGGAAGGTAAATGTTGTTTCCGTGTGCTGCTCTTGTTCGCCAGAAGTGGCTTAGTCATGCTGGCCACATGACCTGGAAGCTGCACGCCAGCTCCCTCGGCCAATAAAGCGAGATGAGCGCCGCAACCCCAGAGTCGGTCATGACTGGACCTAATCGTCAGGGGTCCCTTTACCTTTAACTGCAAGTGCTAGGCACAGAAGTAAATACTTAAGGGAGGAACATAAGCAATTGTCTTCTATCAAATCAGATTATTTGTCCATCTACCCCTATATTGTTTTCTCTGTGTGGCAACAGGTCTCCATGATCTCAAGTAGGGGTTTTCACATCACTTATTATCAGCTGCTGCTGCTTTTACTTGAAATTGAACATGGGATCTTCTGAAAGCAAACTGTATGTTTTATCACTGAGCCGTGTTCCCCCCCCACACACACACACAAATGATGGCTCCTAATCTTTCAGCTGGCCACTATTAATGCAGCTGAATGGGCAGGTGTAAGGTTTTTCTCTGTGCTATGAAAATCTTCTCCTGCACATCACACCAACATTCCCTCCAGCCAACCAGTCCCTGATCAGTTAACAACAATGGTCTTAATGCCAAGCTTCAATATCAGCTCAAATCTCATAACAATTTACTGAACACGGAGTCATATGGGGGGGGGGGAATTTGTGTAGTACAGTATGCAAACATACCTCCATTGTTGCCTGATGAGCAAAAATGGAAGGGCCAGATCCCACTGTATAAATTGCTCCATTATTATTATTTTTAAAGTAGCAGTTTGTGCTTAAATCCCAGCCACTTTACATGAGCTCAGATGCATAGGTTTTGCTGTGATTTTGAAAAACACTGTAGCTCTGGTAAGAGAGAGAGTTCTATGGTTGTAGACAGCATAACCAGGGCAGGGCTCCTGTCGCTTTAAAGCAGGGGTCTAGGTTTTCCAACTCTAATGGCAACAAGGGTTGTAAATTGTAAGTACCCCCTTTTTTTCATTAACTGCGTTTATTTGTGTTCCAGAGATCTGAAGCAGCAGAGTGCCTCACAGGAGGTGAAGAATGACTGAGAACGCAACAGCGCCTGCCACCCTCAATGCTACAGAGACAACTGGACCTACCACGCCCCGCAAGGGGCCTCCCAAGTTCAAGCAACGGCAGACACGACAGTTCAAGAGCAAGCCCCCCAAAAAAGGAGTAAAAGGGTAAGAGTAGCAATTCATTCGCTCACAAATGTGCTTTTAAGATTCTGCATTACCAAACTGCAACTATTAGGGCATCACCCCTACTGGAACTACATACGTGTAACAGGGCAGGGGGCAGGCCTTATTTATTCCTCTTTCACCACTGCCTCCATTTCCCTCTTCCTTCCTTGGTTGTTTCCCTTGCGTCAATATCTAGATTGTAAGCCCCTTGGGACAGCGGCCTCTTTTCTCATTATGAGTAACGCATCATGTGCATAAAGGCTGAGGAACCTTTGTCCTTCCTGGTGTTCCTGAACTACAACTCCCATCAGCCCTTACCCAATGATCAAGGGTGATGGGAGTTGTAGTACAACAGCTTACTGGAGGGCCACACTTTTCCCATTCCCGATGTAAATGAATGATGGTACAGTATGTTGTGCTTCAGGCCATAGACTGAGGTGTGGCAGGTATCTTGACTTAACCTGCATAATGCTATAGTCCTAAACATAAATATTGGGGAATAAGCCCCATTGAACACAGTGGTACTTACCTATGAATAAACGTATGTAGGACTGCATTATAAATGGAGCTGGGCTCTGTAGTTGTTTGTAATGGTCTTGTCTTGGTTAGATCACGCAAGGAGACAGAGGAGAGAGGAAAGGCCTTATGGAGATAGCTTGATATGGTTTATACTATAGGACCTTTGCTGATGGGTCCTATCAGGGTATTTTACAACAGAAAATACATGAGTAATGCACTGGGGTGATATTGAAGGTGCTGGACCAATGGGGAGGAGTCCTGGGCATACAGTCGATTCCATTATATGGCCTTAGATTACTCACTGATATACTTTTCATATGTTGTGGCCGTCTGGTTTCGGAATCTATCTTGCTAGTTAAATACAGTCTATTTTATGGTGGGATGGTGAATCCGTGGCCCTCCAGATGTATCTAAGCCAGGGTACACTTCCTATTCTTGGCTTTCTTATGAGACAACATGATGAGATTGTTTAGCTTAGATTTGATGGCCTGCTGATGAACAGAAGCTCTGTGACTATATGCTTAGGGAGCAACAGTACAAGCATGTTATCACCCATATTCCCTAGGATATTGTTTCTCTATTTTGGTTTGACTTGGTTCTCTTCTGTGTGAATAGATGCCCCTGCGTGGCAAGCCAACATTGGAATCAAGCATGAGTGGCATGAGTGAGAGGCTCAAAACACTCTGAAAATTGCAGGTTTTTTGGTGCCTCTTTGTAAGGAACAAATTGATCATATTTAAAGACATTTGTCCCATCTGTTTGTACATAGTAACAAGACCAAGCCAAACAAGACCAAGCCAAATGCAGAAGCTTGCTAATGGGGGAGAGAATATCCAGGCAGTACAACTTGATCTTGCAGCAGAAAACACACATAAAATCAGCTGTTCCCTTGCATGTTCTCTTTGGTTAGGAAAAATATATCTATTCATAAATACACAAACATATGGTTGCAACTCAAACTCTCTTCTGTTGCTTTTTCCATAGTTTTGGAGATGATATCCCAGGAATGGAGGGCCTTGGAACAGGTAATTGATAGGCAATATTGCTCTGTTATTCCCTGTGCTATTTTCCTACACCCCAAGCCATCTTAAATGAGCTTTTCCATCTTGATCTATGTAGGCATAATAAGCTTTCTCTCTCTTTCTTGCAGATATTACAGTGATTTGCCCTTGGGAAGCTTTCAGCCATCTGGAGCTTCACGAGTTGGCACAGTTTGGAATCATCTAATCTACCAGAATCCCTGCTTTTGACCGGAGCTCTGAAACAGTCTATCACCTGTGATACTTATTTCCACTCCTTCTTCAAAAATTCTGACATTTAACAAAACAGAGGGCTTTGTGGGGTCAGTTTTGAGCAACTTTCTTCTTAGAGATACTTTGCAAGAAAGGGTGTTAAAAATATATCCAACTGGCTCATCAGCTAAGAAGTTGGAATGGTTCTAAATGTTTTCGTGTAAAATATATTGTGTTCTTTTTCTCCCTAAAATTCTCTTTCTATGTACCATCTAGGATTTATCTGTATATATACATAAAACCCCCTTACCTATATGTTTTCATCTCATCTTGGATAAGTTATGAGTCTGTGTGCTTGCATATGCAATCCTAGAAGTCTTTGAAGTTTCGCTCATTGTTCAAATCTGCTCCCACGGCTCTCCTGCGCATCCATGAAAATGATCACAAACTTTGAATTGCATAATGAGTATCCAAAACGATGTGTAGGGATGTTTCTAAAGATTCCATAACCATAAGCAGGATACCCAGAGAGTTGCAAAAATAATTACCCATTGTGCCAGGAAAAGACTTTGGAGCCTGCTAAGTTCCATAGGCAGTAACACCACAGAAGCCATAAAAAGCAAGGGCTTGATAACACTGTAGACATTTTCTTAATTACAGGTTTATCAATGTAGCTGTTAGATTCCTGTTGCTCTAATAAAAGTTCCCGTTGCTCTAATAAAAGTACATTAAAAGCATGGTATTTATATCCTATCACGCTTTTTCATTCCTCATGAGTAAAGTCTTAGTGAAATCAGTTGCAGAGATTTCCTTTTCTTGCTCTGTCCAAGCTGAAAAGCACTCTCGTTTATTATTGTCACCTGGCTGAGGTATGGCAAAGTCTCCCAAGCAGAGGTGGCTGGTGCCCAATTGGACTCTTAGGGTAGAAGGCAGGGAAGCCAATGATAGGCACAACAAGAGCCAATGACAGGCAAAGTCAACTCATTCTAGTTTTGTCACCACCCTCCTCTGTGCTGAGTTCTACAAGGTCAAAACTGAGACTATGGAGGAGGAAGCTTATAGCCAGGAATAACTCATGGACTAGTTTTAAGTAAGAAGGCAGGAAGATGGGAGGCTGCCTGAGAGCAGACTAAGGTTGAGGGGGCAATGCCATTTGCCCCAATGGACCAACCACCGTGGCTCCCAAGTGAAGCTTGAGCTTCTAATAAAGCTCAACCTGGCTCCAGAAATTTCATTTACACATGGCTGTATACCTCATGGGTCGATTTAGATGGCAAGTTTTAATTAGGAAAAGTAACAGCCTTCTTTGTAATATCCAGTCCAGTTGTCTTTTGTGGTGTTTGACTGCAGGATAAGATGAATTTTCATTTGAAACCAAGGTTGTTTATGCACTCCCATTTGCCCTTCATCCAGGGTGCTCCCACCACTGCTTTAGGAGGTGGTGTCCATATGGTGTTGGCAACAATCCATATCTATCCTGAATCTGTCTTGTTGCTGCTTACAAAATTCTGCATTTGGATGCATTTCCCCCCAAAACCATCTTCAATCCAAACTGAGAGGGGAAAAATTGACTTAGCTGTGTTTTAAATTGGCAATATATACACAGCCTGACTTGTCATCGAGATCTAGGCACCAAATCACAAAACTTACGTCTAAAAGCTGCTTCATAAATTACATACTATCTGCATGAGTATGCTTTATTTTAGAGGAGAACTCTATATACGCCCCATGATTTGCGAGCGCTGCTCAAGAATCTGTTTCATCACATGCATACAGCAGAACATAGAAGCTTGCATGATTCTCAAAATAAATGTCAATGGTGTCTCCCTACCCTGCCTTACACCGATATATACCCAAATCAGGAAAACACCCTATATGAAGCCGCTATGCTGCCACAACTTAATGGAGATCCTGATAACTCATGTGACTATAGGACATACATTTGTAGGTAGCAGAATGATTCATTTTTGTAGCTTTCCACACCACTCCTGCCTTGCGGTCTTACAGCCCCAGGTGATGGTGGCAATGATTATTTACTATCCTGTCTGCATTCATTCAGCCCATTTGGAATGGCTGTAAAAAACTCTAGGCTGAAGTTTTACCCCCATTTAATCCAAGACAAGTTAATAGTGAGGTCGGTGGATTAAGTGATTTATACTGTTTGATATTCAGAATGGAGGATGTTACTTCATAAACATAATTCATCTGAGCTCCACTCACCATCTCCTACTATTGGGAAACTTACTTTTCCCCACATGCTGCTGCTGCTGCTTTTGACTTGTATTGCTTAGATTTGTGTAGTGTGATCTCTATGAGCCTGCATTTTTACTTGAAAGCATCAGTTTGTGCGTATAGTGTGATGAACTCAGAACAACACACTCACTGGCCACAGCGGCATGATGATAGTGTTGCACGCCAGCCCAATTTCTGAGCAGTGCAAGATTCCAGGGGTTCCAGGCGCTTACGCAGGGTTTGTGTTTCCTTTTGGAAATGAGGCACAGTGGAGATTGTGGTGTCTTTATGATATATGGTTTATATTCAGATCTATACAGCCTGAGTCTACAATGGAGGGGTTCACAGCATCAACACCCCAAAAGGGTCTTGTTTCTCCCATAGCCGCTGCCTTGGAGTCAAACAGAAATCAAACATCATGATCTCTGGCCAGTTTGTTGCTTTTCTTCTAGGTTATATCACACACATTATCTACTCTAAACTCTGACTCTATCTCTTGAGGGACCGGGCACACTAGCCATTAGCCGTCTAGCACCAAGCCCCTTAATCCCTCTTAATGGCTCATCACCCAGGCTGTCACCTCATGGGAAGGTAACTTGGCTTGATTAGATTTTAACACTTGCTGGATCCAGGGATTAATGGGGGGGGGGAGTCTGGCACCCACAAACCTATAACACCAGCAAAGCTTTGAAGCTCAAATGTAAGCCTCACCTCTTCTGCCTAAAGGGAAAATCATTAGGAAGTTAGCAACAGTGCTGATTCTAGAGTTTAAAAGGTAGAGGCTAGCTATATAAATAGGAAAGGTATTACACAGCATACAATTCTGTGAAAGAATAGGATTTGTTCCATTATCACTGATTCAAATAAAGGACACAGTAATAACAATTTCATGCAGAGTTGCAGCTTGTCGCAACCTGGTGCCCTCCGGATGTTGTTGGACCTGCTGACTGGGCCTGATGGGAATTGCAGTCCAATAGCATCTTTGAGCACCGGAGGTTGGGGAAAGCTTTTAACAAGATCTTGATTCTGCATATACTTGAGCTCTTCACAGTAATTTTATTTAGGTTTTAAAAAGTGACTTTTTATTTTGTCTTCAGCTGTATTCTGCCTGATCTAGCTTCCTTCTCTCTCTCTCTCAAACATATTACATTTGCAGGTTTAGGATTACTGTCAAAAATTCCTTTTCCTAATTTAGCACTCAGACAATAATCTGATTCCAACATCTAGCACAGCTCAGAGCACATTTCCCCTGGGACCATGCTACTTCCGATTCCAGGTAGGAGGGGTCACATTCTTTAGTGTTCTTCAGTGTTAAGAAATACTCTTGTGTACGAGGATTCTAGTATCTACTGTACATTTGATTTTGCTTTATGGTTAACAAGTGGGATTTGTGCAGTGTGGAAGTACCCCTGTTTAGATTTCTGTTCACTCCATTCCATACCCTCTGAGCATGTTCAGTTCTCCTTGGACTGTTCTGGAGACCCCTCCCGCCAGCTTCCACCCCCACCCCCCAAAAAAAAGTTCTGTTAATCGTGGAACTGGCATCTCTTTCTTGTGCATGAAAGATACTGTTTTGACTGCATGACAACTGGCAGCCAGAGGAATGAGTTTGCTGTTGGTATATATGACTAATAAATATTAATTCAGTGCCAGTTAAAACATGTTTCATAATTCCAGATTATTACATTCCCTTGCATTGGCCTAAATTTGGGTATTCTGCCTACCAATGTTTCCTGACTGAAACATTCATTTATTGGTTGGGATTGTTGGAACTGTATCTTTGTCCATTGCTTTTTTGTACATCGAAGAAAACCCAGGTATTTTGAAAACCACCACTACGTTTTATTATACATTGCAACCATACAGGAACATATATATATTTAAGTGTGTGTTTATATACATAAGATTATAAACACAGGGAAACACATACATATGCTTCCTAGGAGCTTTTCTTGAGATTCCTTTCTTCTGCAGTGATAATCATCAAAACTGAAAGGTAACATTTTACATATAAAAATATTAATAAATGTCCAAATGTCATAGTACATATTTCCCAACATATGTATGTCCTAGTTCTTTTACTATAAAATATGAAAATGCAATAAAAATTGTTTTAAACATATTTGGGTATTGCTTGGATTTGATTATTCTTAAAGCTTACTTTAATTGCATGTTCCTCTGCTTTAACTTCCTCATTTGGGATGGCCGGGGGGGCGAAGGGTAGGCTTATATATTGTTCTGGTTTCAATATGTACCTTCAATCCTGTCATTTGCCCCTTCTGCCCTTGCTTCCAATGAGGGCTGGATCTAGACAAATCAATAAAGCGTTTCAGGAAAATGCATTGTAAACTTCAAAGTGGGGAATCATGTTGGTGAAAGACAGAGCTCCACAGCGCCATCTGGTGTCACAGTGTTATAATGCATATAAAACACTTTTTCTTTACTAATGTAGCTGAGGTCTCCTGGGTTGTGTGCACATTAGGGTGGGCCACTGTTTCGGTGTGTTCATTTCTGTACCTTTGTCCATGCATGAACACATGCAATGTTATGGCTCCCAAATCAACCTTGATGTTTCCATCAAGGTGCTAGACAGGATGCATTCACACCGTGTGTTGTTGTTCCCTTCCCTCAGTTAGTACTTTCCTGCCCTCTGGAAATTGAAGATCCATAATGAGCATGCATGCACATATTTGTGCCTGTGTACACACCTCTTTCTAAAAAAATGTGGAAGTAAATTTGCAATTAAACTTTTTCAATTAACCAGATTCACACAAAACAGCAGCCTTTTAAAAAAAAAAATAATAGATTGCTGTTTTCATTTCCAAGAGAGTGGAGGAGAGGCTTTCTTTGTCTCAGGATCTCACAGATCAAGTACTGTAACTGAAAATTGGTCACTTCTCTATAAGCTATATAATCAACAGGATGCATCATCCGCCGCCCCCTCCACGCCTTTGCTAAGCAGGTGTCTGCAGCTGCTCTCACTTGCTTTTAGAAAGCTGTGCTGGCTGTATCACTTGAGCTGCTGGAGCTGGAAAGTGAACACACACATTTCCTTTAGTACAAAATTTTGAATATACCAGATTTGCATAAAAGGCCAGCAACAAAAGTAAAGAATATGTATGTTTGGAGTTATTTGCTAGCTTGAAAGGCTATTTCCTTTCCTCTCTAATCCTTGCCTCTTGTATCTGCAAGGGCAATTTTTATTTTTAATACAGCTGTTTTTTGTGGAAGAGCAATTCTGCACAAAACAGCTGTTTCAATGTTAGGCTTTTTGAAAACAGCAAATATGGCTTCAGCAACAACTGGTAGAAAAAGGCATGGTGTATGCAACCTTTCCTTTGGGCTGATGGAAACAAAATGGAAGTTGGAGGGCTGGGATTTTCATTGGGATGACACTGGTTGGGGGGGAGGGTTTAACTCTCCCTCCTCTCATTGTGCAGTTCTGATGCCACAGGTGCTGTTCAGACAACAAAGTGCACATCAGTTGGGCCTTTAAGAATGTTTCTCTGCTATGGAATTCCTGAAGTTTGATGCAATCCAATTACTTTCAACAAGGTAAAATTTACAAGGAGCTTGGATGCAAACTCTGAAAATACAAAGGTTTGCAGGCTCATTTTAACACTGAGTTGGGGGGGGGATGTTACGTTGGGGAGAGAGAGAGACCCTCTAGATACTCCTTCCTCCACCAGCAAAAACGACAATACTGCAAGTGATCCATTGTATGGCAACTATTACATTGCTAAATATGTAGCCTTGGGACTCAGCTACATTAGTAAAGAAAAAGAGTTTTATATGTGTTGTAACTGTGACACCAGATGGCGATGTGGAGTCCCGTCTTCCGCCAACGTGATTTCCCATAATAAAGTTTACAACACATTTACCTGAAACACTTCTTTGGTGTGTCTAGATCCAGCATTGTACAGCTGTGGTCACATGCAACCCTAACCTCTTTGGCTATTATCTGGAAAGACTCCTTGACTTCAAAACTTGCTAGAAACAATGATCTATTGGTTCTAAAAGGAAGGCGCACTGTGTCATTACCCCAAGCTCTCTGTACTGGTGATCATTTGTCACAGCCATTACAGTAATTTCCTCTCTGTCTGTTACCATCCTATGTCTAGCCCACTTCATTATCTTCATTATCACAGCCACATATGCATGAAATCAGTTTCTGGTTTCCCACATTCCCAACAATGAAGCTAGATGTTAGCTAGATGGTGGATGATTAAAAAGGTAAAGGGATGCCTGACCATTAGGTCCAGTCGTGACTGACTCTGGGGTTGCGGCGCTCATCTCGCTTTATTGGCTGAGGGAGCCGGCGTACAGCTTCCAGGTCATGTGGCCAGCATGACTAAGCCGCTTCTGGCGAACCAGAGCAGCGCACGGAAACACCGTTTACCTTCCCGCTGGAGCGGTACCTATTTATCTACTTGCACTTTGACGTGTTTTCGAACTGCTAGGTTGGCAGGAGCAAGGACTGAGCAACGGGAGCTCACCCCGTCGCGGGGATTCAAACTGCCAACCTTCTGATCGGCAAGCCCTAGGCTCTGTGGTGATTTGATACCCACATTTAAACATTTAAATAGTCTACCTCCAGCCTCTACATCACTAACAGCTTCCCCACCCTTACCCCCATGGATGTTTACTCAAGAATTAAGTCTCAGTTTAATCAGGATTAGTCCCATGTAAGCGTGTTTAGGATTGCAGGCCTTGAGTCCCAAAGAGTGAGTGGGCAAGTTGTCTTATCCACCAACCAACATGCCCATTTTCTTTTGTGAATGGGTGGCAGATTGCAAGTTCAGTAGAAGCAAAGTACAAGTGTCCCAGGCAGGAAAGAGGGTAATGTTGCAATAGCAAGTTCTCTGGAGTGCATTATGTCATTACCATAACAGTATCACTATAGGCACCACAAGTGCCAAGATAAATGATTTATGAGACACCCTCCCACAATTTGTCTATTTTACATGATCCATCTTTGGATATATGCTGAAGTGCTCTAAAGAGCATGCAAAAAAGTAACAGTATGAACTGGCCTTTTCTGAGGCATCTGTGGAAACAGCAATATCTGACACAGAGTGTAAAACTGCCAATCCAAATCTTGAATTATATAAAGCTCCAGAGGAGGAATGACTCAGAGCTTCTGGGCAGTCACAGGAGAAATAATTATGTTTACATGATGAACCAAACTGGGACTCGGAATGTTATTCTTTGTATGTCATATTATCTGTGCTGACCTGGGTGCTCCATGGGAAATGGATGCGTTTTAACAGCACAACATCAACTGAATGCTAAGCCCAGGTTCACTAAAATATCCATTGAGCACTTCAGCTCAGCTCCATATCACTGACCCTAAAGAATGGCTGCTGCACTATACTGTTTCACATCTCCCATATGTCACAATGCTAGACCCAAGGGAGGGAAGCTAGGTGGATTTCTTTCCTTCTGAATTTCATAGTCTGGATCATGTTGTGCTTGTTGCTGGCTTGCACAAGGACATATTGGGAGCTCCCCATGAGACAAAGTCTTTGAAAATGAGAGCATCCAGGAAGAAGCATTCATATGATTATTAGTAATACTGTAGTAGCATTCACTCATAGATTTATACCGCAGAAAAGGTAAGTTTCTCATTTAAGTAAGGTATTTTTCTCATATGATTCAGACACCCCGTTTACTTTTTAAAACCCATAAGCACTAAATCCTTCATTGCTTTTTTCCATAACATTTTTCACTAATACCAGGTTTTAAACAACACAATCCCCAAAGAGTGGCAGCATATTAAGAGAATTTTAAATTGTATTTTGAATTTCCTTGCTTTGGAGATATATTTATTAGAAGGGCTACTTCTGTCTCTTACCATGTTCATTCCCATTTTAACAGCTATGAAAAATGCTAGATCTGTAAAAGTTTTAGATGTAAAATGATCCAGCAAGGAGCAGCAGACTTCCTAAACATCTTTACACATAGATGCTTCAATGATCAATCAAAGTGACTTTTAGCTTTTGTGCATTATTTCAAATCCTTTTTAAATGATAATTTCCCATCTGGACACAGAAGATGGAATATTAGCCTTGCTTCACAGCAGAGGCACCTATTCCTACACTTTCCCTCTTCTCATTTTTTTAAAAAAACAGGTGGCTAGATGTTTCCTCCTGCACAAGACGGGTCCAAAACAAAGCTTCTGAAATAAACAAAATATATACAGTAATCCTGTCACTTGTTTCCTTTTATCTATTCTTTGTTGTTACTGCCCTTTCTTAATCTTGCTTTCTCATTCTTTATTAATTGTTAGTGATTGTCAAGTGCTTTGTTATTGTTCCAATTCATAAAGGGCTTTGTTTAATCATGTTGTCACACTTTGGCAGCACCAATGACACACAGAACAAAATGAGTGGTTTTTAAAAAATATTTCAGTTCCTACATCTCCAGTGCCTTGTGCCTGCGTTTCCTTGACTCAGAAGAAATATCAATGCACCTCAAATATCTACACAAAGTAGTTGCCTTGTCTTCAGGCAAGACCTTGAGCACCTAGAATAATTAGGTGATTTCCACTACCACCATCCCTGCTGTGATAATGTAATACTGGGGGAACCTCCTCTGTTGAATATATGTACCCAGCTGAATTTATTATGTTGATTTTGCTTGGCAATTATTTAAATATCCTTAGTAAAGATCTTTATTAGCCTGTTGCTTTTTCCTAGGTGGGCACAGTGAGTTGGGAAAATTTCCTCTCTTGGGAATGCATCCCTTTGTGTTGGGATTGTGAAATAAACAAACTTGGCAACACTCCCAGATGGCAAGTATACCTGCTTCCCTGATTTTTAAAAAAATCATTTTTATTGGTTTTACAAATAAGCAAAGAATAAAAAGTATATATAAAGAGATTATCCGAATCTCAAGACTCCCCCGCCCCCCATCGACACCATGGGGGTCCCATTTTAAACATCTACTACTGCATATTCATCCATGCTCCAATTTTTATATCAAACCCTATTATCCATTGTAATTTTTACACAACTGAAATCAAAATCCTGCCTTTGTTTCCATCTGCTTACAGTGGTCTCCTAAATAAGTTATAATTTGTTCCCATTCTTTTGTTTAAAAAATTGTCCTCTTGGTTTCTGAGTTTCCCAGTCAGCTTTGCCATCTCGGCATTGTCCATAGTGCTTCCTTGACATTTCATCCATTCCCTTGTGAGGTCCCTGCCCCTTGAACGAAAGGGCGAGAAATCCAACAGGTGGGGCTTTTCCGCAGAGCTAGCGGAACCTCACCTGTTGAGTTTCTTCCACTCACACCACAGTGATAGGAACGGGGAGGCTGTCAGATAGCAGATCTAAATAGAGGAAGGGGATGGTGGGACCAGCAGCCCCGGAGGAGCTGCTCTCGGCGGCGGGGAGAACGGGGGACTGGCCACAGTTCCACCCAGGAACAGAGCGGTTCGCAGTTGCCGTGGCAACGTCTTCTCTCGGCCTCCTCCGCTCGGAGCAGCAGCCCCGCCGCCAGCACTGGCCCGAAAAGGCTGCCGAGGCCACGCCCTCGCTGCGCGGCTGTTTGACTTGGCGGCTGGGCTTTTCCGCCAAGGGCGGGGTTGAGGTTTAGTCATGCGGGGTTAGGGTCTTGCCGGCTCCTCCCCACCCCACCCCCGAACCCGGGAATCAGCACTCACACGTTAATTCAAAGGTGAGGGAGGAGCGGGCATGAATGGTGTGCGGGCAACGGAAGGGCGTCTGTGGCGCTGAAAGGCGGGTAGGCAGAAATGGGCGGGAGGGAAACCAGGTGCAGCTCTCAAGGAACGTGGGAATAGGTGCCTCTTGGCTCCTGACACGTATGTTTGTGACCTTTACCGAGCCTTGTTGCTCTGGCAGGGGGCTGGTGTTTATAATGGGATAGGTGCTCCTTATACCCGTCGTTTGTTTGTTTTTTTGATTCTCTTTTGCAGCGTCCACATGACGTCGTTGGCATCAAAATGCCAGCCTGTGATTCCTTCCCATTTAATCCAGACCTACTTTTTCCCCCTGAAGAAAATCCTGTACGTCCTTTGTTTTTAAACAACTTGTTGCCAACCTGTTTGTGATACCTCAGTGACCCATTTTCAGTATTAAGCCCTTGTCTGGAAGTGCCCAAGTTTGGCAGTTCAGGGCAGTGGCGTAGCGTGGGGGGTGCAGGGGGGGCCGGCCGCACCGGGCGCAACATCTGGGGTTAGGGCAAATCCACGGGTTAGGGGGCGCAAATTACTTGCCTTGCCCCGGGTGCTGACAACCCACGCTACGCCGCTGGTTCAGGGTAAACTCAGTGGTGCGGTTAAATAATATTAGTTTCTGGCTATAATGGTGAGGGGGGCAGTTGATAAAGTGTATTATTACTTTACTAACTTCAAAATATGGTTATCCAGTACAGTACTGCTGTATTTGGGGGCGCTTCTCATTCTGTTAAATAGTGCCCTGGAATTAATTCCCCAAATGATAGCCCTGGGCAAACCTTTGCACTGGGGCTGGAAGTGGGGAAAACATTCCAGGGGCCACAATCACTTTCCAAGGGCCATATGCAAGTGGTTGGTGGGGCCAGAGGCCTTTTCTATCATCCATCCAGACAGGTAAAAATGCTGAGGTTGTAAAGCGGGGCCTGGGGAGAGTTTATAGACCTGGAGGGCCAGTATTGGCCCCTGGGCCTATAGTTCCCAAACATGGCTTTGTGTATGTGTTTGTGTGCACATTGTCGCATTTGGGGTACTGGAGATGCTTACATAGTGCATTTGAGGCAAGGTCCAGCTTTATTGTCAGTATGCTAGTTTGCCTCCATGCATTCCTCCTTAACCGAAAACAACTGTTGAACTTTTATCAAATGTCTGAAATAGCATTTTAATGGGAATGCTGACTGTGTCTTACAGCCTGAGGGCTGAGAAAAACTGTGATTGCTTAAATTCTTCCTAGAATATGCCTCTCATTCCAGAATATTTCTTTTCTACAGTACAGTACTCTGAAATAAAGGCCAAAACTCTAGAAGTGTCCCTCACTTTGAAATTTTGAGTGATACCTGGTTGTAGCTGAATAATTTAAGTGGTACCTGGTTGTAGCTGAATAAATAATAAGTGCACAGAATGAGTGTGGGCTGAAACTCTTCATCCTTTGCTTTTACAGTCATCCTTGTCAAATGTGACCTTTATTGGCAACACTATTGATTATTTTACTTTTGCCTAGCAAAACAAGAAAGTGTTTGTGGAGCTCCTTGACTGCTTATTGGCAGATTAAGAGCAACATAGGTTCTTCCTGTCTGTTAATATTTCTTTTCCTTCTTCCCATCCTTTGTTTTTACAGCTGTTACGATTTCCTCAAGTGGGTTCTGGGGATCGGAAATTGTTTTCCATTTTTAATAGCTCTGTCTTATACAGACAGGGCACAAGGATAGGCAAGCTTTATTGCCCCTTTTCATTCTGGTCAGGGAGGCTATGAAGATGATACATCTCAGCAAAATGTTTGATTTTCAAAGTGATACATTTCCTATGAGGAAAATAAATCTTAACACACAGCAAAACCACATACTGTGTTGTCCATAATCTGCCAGTAAGCAGAGAAGGTAGCATCAGACACATACTATTGTTTTGCAGAAATAGATCAATAGGTATTGTCAATAATCAGCTCATGAGTCGAATCAGTTAACAACTAGAATTCAAAACTTATGGAGGAGTAATTCACTGTACAGTGGTACCTCGGGTTACATACGCTTCAGGTTACATAAGCTTCAGGTTACAGACTCCACTAACCCAGAAATAGTACCTCGGGTTAAGAACTTTGCTTCAGGATGAGAACAGAAATTGTGCTCTGGCAGCGCAGCAGCAGCAGGAGGCCCCATTAGCTAAAGTGGTGCTTCAGGTTAAGAACAGTTTCAGGTTAAGAACGGACCTCCGGAACGAATTAAGTACTTAACCTGAGGTACCACTGTATCTTCATAACATGTTACACTGCTTTTGGCTCACGCTGGCAAAAAATTATGTTGCTTCATCAGTAATGGCCCTCCACTCCACACGTAAACTGCCTGGCAGAGGGCACAGATGGCTCTTTGCCTTTGACAGAATTTGTGCAGTTGATATGCACTGTGAAAGCAACATTTCCCTCTCTTCATTGTCCTACATCAGCCCAGTGTATTGTTGATGTTCCCTTAGCATTATTCAAGACCTTTGCTTTCAACATTGAAAATGAGTGGCTTACATCTGTGAAATTTGGGACCTCATCCGCAGAAGCCATAGCAGTTAAAAGGTGGAATATGAAAGGAGAGTGGCCCACTTACCGATTATTAGTAGAAGTGGATAAAGATGAGCCAACTTTGAAGAAATATGATGAAATCAAAAACCACCTGTCAGATTGGCTCCAATATTTTCAGTTAAATCAAAGATTATGTATAGATAAGAAAGAAGGTCTTGCAAAAGAAATATCTAAATTCGAAAAAGAGTTAACTCGCAATAAAGGAAAACACATTTCACGAATTTACAACTATTAGAATGGGAAGTAAAAGAGGAACAAGTTAAAGTAGTAATGGTAAGGTGGGCACAGCACCTTGTATACAATATCTACATGGAACAATGGGAAAGATTATGGAGGACAGATATTAAATTCATGGCACCTTAGGGAAAACACTATGAAGATGCTATACAGATGGCACCACACCCCTTTAAAACTCGCTAAAATGTATAAAGGCAGGTCGCCAATATGCTGGAGATGCAAAAAGGACATAGGGTCATATTTTCATATCTGGTGGAACTGTGTAGTTATCCTTGAATTTTGAAATAACATCTATAGTGAATGTAAAAAACTATTCAAATTTACATTTGAAAAAAGACCAGAAATCTTCCAATTAGGTATACTACCAATAGAATTAAAAATATATATAAGACCATTGTTTATGTATGCAATCACGGCAGCCAGAATAATAGTGGTAAGAAACTGGAAAAATGAAATCCTACCAATGATTACAGAGTGGCAGACTCTTATGATAGAATAACTAAAATTGCATTGTACAAACAAGATACTTGCAGAACTAGATTGATACTTGTAAGCAAAAAGTGTATTAGATACCATATCGGTTTTTATTTATATATAAAATGAAATTACATAAATCTGTGCAAGAAAATATAGACAATATAAGCAGTATAATGAGAATTATTGGAAGTTTTACATTTTAACCTGTTATTTAATTGTAATATACTGTATTTTTCCCCTTTTACTTAATTTTTTTCTTTATTTGTATTGCTTTTGCTTTGTATGATTTGTTATTTATGTATGTGGGAAATTAATAAAGATTATTTTTAAAAAGAAAAAAATCTGAGAAAGCTGACGTAGGACTGTAGGAAACTGCCTTATACTGAGTCAGATTGTTGGCACATCTATTCTAGCTTAATATTATCTATACACTGATTGACAGTGTCTCTTGAGGATTTCAGATGGGGTATTTCCCACTCTTAAGGCGATGCTGAAAATTTAGTCTGTAATCTTTTGCATATAAGGCAGAGGCTGTACCACTGAGCTTTCTAAAAGGATGGGAAGAAGGTCCATTCTGTGATTTTTCTCTCTTATGGTAAATAATGATGCAGTGTTTCATCATGAAAGACCAGGTCTTATCCTCACTACATTTTTGTGGCAATAACATGGACTCTAGTCCACTAAAGCTTATACCATAATAAATTTGTAAGTCTTTAAAGTGCCACTAAACTATTGGTTGGCTTTGGTGAAAGAGACTTAACACATTTATCCCTCTGGGAATTAGAAGCTGTTTATCTGTATCAATGGCTACCCACAGTTATTTTTTGGGAATCTGCAGAAAAGATTAAATGGGAGAATGAAGATTTCAGAATCAAAGTCCCGATTATAATAATTCCAAAGCAATCAGCCGCATCTTCTATGTGGAACGTTGCGCTTGAGTCTGCTTATTTTTGGCTGCCTGCAGCAACCTTACTTGTGTCAAAATGACTGACAGTGGAAACAACTACCTCACTATATGGGTTGATCAAGGATAAACTTCGCCAGGAAGATGTATAGTAGTGATGGTTTCATCAACTTCTCAGAATCTGTGTAGTTTGTGGGCAGCCATTTTCAGGGGCTCTAGTGCCATCCAAGAAGGCCTGAGACTTGTTTTTGATACACATCCTACATAGCATCAAAAAGCAAGGGCAAATTATAATTGTAACTGTGCATAGCGAAATTATAATAAACAGATAATCTGGAGATTTATGCTTTGTTCAGTTATAAACCTATTAGGTGATGCATAGGGCAGTAATAGAACTCACACATCCTATGCTTAAAATGGAAAAATGCCTCTGAGTTGGAAAAGTGTTATTTCATTATATAATAAATACTAGTTAGTCAAAATGATTGGTGCCACAAAACACCTAAAAAACCCACAGGATACTGGGGTTCTAATGCCTCCTTTTTGTTTGTGACAAGAGCTGTAGTCAAAGTTGCCATAGAGTTCAAACAGTTGATTTTTATGTGTTTTACAGTCTGTGGAGGAAAAATAAAAGGCCTGGTTTCAGGAGATTATGTCCGAAGATTCAGATAAGGACAAGCAGCACATAGAACAAATAACCAGTGATGATTACAATTCGGTATGCTCAGTCTTCAGTTTTATACATTATTCTAGAATATATTACCTATTTCTTGTAATGTTTGATTCATTAAAGAAAATTTAGTTTGCCATCCCTGAATGGGAATATCCATGCCAGAGGAAACATGGTATAGCTGGTGTGCTGTGGTGGTTAGAGTGTTGGACCTAGGAGCCCAGGGTTCGAATTCCGATGTAGCCATGGGTGGCCTTGGGCCAGTCATTGTCTCTCAACCTAATGTACCTCACAGTGTTGTGAAGATAAAATAGAGAGAAGGGAAACTATGTACTTAATTCCAAGTATTGATTTTCACCACTGACTACTAAGGAGCATTTATAATCATTCTGGCCCTATTAATCCTCTCACATGTTTCCAAATTCACAGCAGGATATTATGCAATGAGCAGTTAACATAATTCATTGTACTCACGCACAACAGATTCAGCAGACGTTTAGAAGTCTATACAGTCTTTGGGGGTGGGGGGAAACCAACTCATTTATCTGACTTACAAGGGAGGTATTACTTACATCTTTGCTCACAATCCAACAATTCTTGCTATACTGTTTATCAAACTGTTTATTTAAGGTCTCTAATGGTGTGTCTATTTTTCATATTTTAAAGCCTGCAATCTGTTCTCTTTCATGATGATACCCTCTTGGTTTTATTTGCACTGTAGTACAAAGTTAGCAAAAATAAATTCAATTATTTCTTTATTTAGAATCATAATGGTCACTGTTATTGAGTGCCCAGTGTCCCATTTCAGATATTTTTGTCCACTTTCCGTGTGCAAGAAACACGTGACCTTACTTTCTGTTGTATTTTTCTGTTGTTTTTTTAGGACGAAGATCCCTTTAACCCATTTTTAACAGAAGATCTTGAGCGGTGTGCCTTTTATGCAGGTCTGAATATCGTTGTTCATTGTCAAACTAGTGAATTGAAATGCATTTGGGTAAGAGTAGAGAAGAATTAGCGGCTAGGTGGAACACAGCAAAGTTTTGGCATGCATAGTGTTGTAAAAAAAGTCTAAAGAAATCATGTTTAGTGTCAGACATGAGGATAACTCGCTGTCAAAATCTAGTAGTGGTATAATATCAATACTTATATGTGGCAATAATATTTTTGTGATCTGTACAGGCAACTCCCCACTTATGCAGTGAAATGTGCATAAGTGGAAGCCCCCAGGAGAGTCTTCATGGCTTGCGATGAGACCCTCCCCAGAGCCTGAAGAGGGTGTCATCTTTGGGCTCTGGGGAAGGTCTCCTCATGAGCAAGAAAGTCTTTCTAGTTCTTTCCACACTGCTGGGTTGCTGGCGCTGTGTGTGTGTGGTTGTGTGCAAGTAGATCACACACAAGTCTGTGATGTGATGATGGCATGAGGAGAGTTCCTTGAAGCTGGAGGCATAAAGTAGCCACCCTAAAAGGGTATGTGCTAATAGAAATGAAGAAATAATAGCACTTGCAAAACAGAACAAAACCACACACCCAAGTATTTTGAAAGCAAATTCTGCATTTTCTTCCTTAAACAAATTTGATAAGGGAGCCCTGGACCAGTTTATAAATTACTATAAAAACACAGTTGCTACTTTTGCAATGTTGTGTTATTATACAGATTGATATTTTGTTGTTTTTAATGCCCAGCAGCTGCAAATGAACTTTGTGTTTTAATGATCTTGTTATTTTATAGCTTGTTTGTGGTTATTTGAATATGCTTGCTTTATTGTTGCTTCTTCATGTTCTATAAGATAGAAGCCATGGGCTCCTTTTGGAGGAAAGGCAATTCATACATACAGTAAAAAAATAAATACAGTACAGGAATCATGTCAGATAGGCAGATGAGATTATTCTTTTCAATTGTATCAGACAACTTGGCTGTCTAATTTAAGTTATCCAAGGCAAAACGAGTCAATGCTTTCTCTTCTCCCCCCCCCCCCAATCTTATAGATTCTTTTTATGATCAACTTTTGCCACGGACCACACAGATTTTATTGGAATATAACTCGGGGAAATGGGTGCCACGGCTTCGTGAACCACGAGATTTATATGGCCTGTCTCCTGCAGCTGGACACCTGAATCTAGTACGCTGGCCCCATGAGTATGAAGTTATCAGAGAGAAAATTGAGCATATTGGTAAATGATATTAAAAGTGTGTTCTGATGTGATAGTTTTGTAGCTAGTTATTAAAACAATATTTTCCTAAATTATAATTTCTACAGCAAAGCATTTTATAAATCCTTGCTGGAGTCAGTTAAATTTTTGAAAACCTTATATTGAAGAAAGTGTGGAATACATACAGTATTATGTTAAAAGGAAAGGACAACAGAACCTAAACAGCCTCATAAATAAATGTGCCCTTAACTTTCATATAAAGAAAGCCACACCCCCTTAATTAACAGTATCATTCCACCCTTTAGTTTCATTAGTTGAATGAGAATAGGATTGAGACTATATGCATAGGATCCAACTGTAATGTTTAATAATAGAAGAGCCCTGTTGGTTCAGACCAAAGGCATATCTAGTTCAGCATCCTGTTTCCACTGGATAGTTGCCAATAAAGTCTGCAGTGCAGTAACATTTGACTTCAAAACTTATTTACGATTTCCCTTTTTTATACAAGTTGCCTACTTTTTAAAGAAAAGTCAACAGGGTCAACCCTCTTCAGAACACATGTGGGTTATTTAATACGTCAACAAAAGAAGCTAAGCTAGAAGGTCTACTGTTATTAAGAAGTTACTGAAATGCAAGCGTGGGATGTAGAACAAATGCAAAAGGAGATGTAGAACTGGAGGAGCACATGGCTAAAAACATTAAGAGCCAAAATTAAATACATTGGAAGCAAGAAATCAGATAGGAGTCAGTATGTTGAATGACAGGAGAGTTTAAAGGTAGGAGATTACATAAATTTCATAGCATCAGAATGAAGCCGGTGCATCCAACTTCACAATGAAACATGTAGTGCTTCTGAGATTTTTCAGGAAAATGTCTGAGGAACGGAGGCAGATAGTGATAATAAGATATTAAGTTATGGGCCTTATTTGCACATTAAAAGAAATTATCAAATCCCCAGTTCTCCATGGTACCCATCCATGAGTTTCTCAAGAACTCAAATGTGAAAATGCTGAGCTTTTAACAAAAGTAAGTTACTCAACCCTAAATTGACCTCAGTACCAGCCCAGCCTTTATTCTTGTTTTAAAGATAAGTAACAAAAGCTGGGGAATTGTTAGGACAATAACTTAATCTGATGTTACATTTTCAATTCCACTTGGTTTTCCAATTGGATAGTAGTGGTTATTTTTATAAGTGCATTATGATACAACCGGATTATTTGTGTAATGGGAATTATGCTTTGAGTTGAAGCTTACGCTGTCATAGAAATGATCAGTGGAGATCAGTTGTCTTAAAAATCATGTACTTATGTAGCTGATAACAGAAGGCCCTTCAAAATCTTAATTAAGTCACAATTTGTAATCATGGATGGATACCATGTTGTTGTTTGTTGCCCCTTTCAGCTCGATTTCTAAATAACTTTAGCTCCTATACATTATTATCACAAGGTTGCATTAGCCAAAGGGTTCTGTTATTTACCAGATAAGTTAAAATGTGTATAAATATGCCAGCAACTAATATAAAGCTGAGGCTCCCAAAACTATATTATTTTATACTCACATCAAATTTTAGCTCTTTGGCACCATATTTTCCAACTCTAAAGTGTAACAAATGTAATTTTAATATAAGCTGACATCTGTTAACTCTCAGCAACAGTTAGGATCAGATTGCTGTTTGTTTATAATCCAACATGTGAAGATGTTTTAACTTAAGGCATAAGTATTAACTTAAAGCATTGGTATTTCCATAATAGGACAATTTTGAATGCCTGCTACAAAATGAAAATGAAATGTTATCATAAAGATACAGAGATAGTCTTAAGAAATTAAGGTCTATCACATATGAAAAGATAATATGTGTAATTGTTATCATATCCTGTCTGCTTTGGTGAGGCTTCATACATTTCAGTGGGGATTTGAAGTTGAATCATTTTTGTGCAAGTTTTTTTCTTGTTCCAAAGTTTGTGGTCTGATACTGACATCTTCTGGAAAAAGCATCCTTCTGCTCTTGAAAAATAATTTCATGAGGAAATGCTTGAAAAACCTTGGAGGTATTCATAGAACATAATGAATCTGTGAAATAGATCAGAGTAATCCGTACCTGTGTCACATGAAGAGTGTATAGTTCTTATTCTTGAATAATGTTTCCTTTAATGTGAACAAAATGACCCTTTCTTAGTTCAGGGCCTCCTAAAGGTACAGTAAACTAAAGCAAAGTATAATATCTATAGAATCTGGGATTTAAAGAAATACACTTGACCAGCCAGTCACATACATCAGTGGTTGTTTTAAGTGGTTGTTTTCATTAAAGAATGAGGTCAATTCTTTGTAAAGCATCCTGAAGATGGTATTTTATTATTAATAATAAGCATGTATGCATATTAATATACAACAATGTGTTTACACAATAATGTGTCTGTGAGAGGGGAATTATTGGTTTGTAAATGTTTTTGTTTTATTATGTATTTTGTATTCTCATTTTGTATTTTTATGTTATGAACTACCCTGTGATCTTCAGATGAAGGGCAATATAATGAACAACAATAAGAAGAAGTGTGCATGCGCACGAAAGCTCATACCGATAACAAACTTAGTTGGTCTCTAAGGTGTTACTGCAAGGATTTTTTTTATTTTGTTTCGACTACGGCAGACCAACACGGCTACCTACCTGTAACTAGAAATATAGCAGATGTTTTGTTTCACATTTTCATCACAACAGTGCCCATTGCCAAAAATAGATGCTGATGTTCAGTTTTTAAATTGTCTTGTGAGTTGTCTCTTTGGCAGTGAGGAACTCTTGTAGTAACAATAGCAAATGTAAACTTGTACGTATTGCTTCTTTGGATCACAGCCACTGTGTTGACAACATACATGCATCTGCTATACAAATTATGTATATGATGTAATAGAGAACAAGTAGCTGTCCAGATTTCAGTGGTGGAAGGTAATGATTTGGTTATAGATAAGGCTGAAGGTTCTTCTCATAGGCTACAAATGAATCTTGTTAACTTCTGGGGTGTGCATCTCTTTTGTTTCATCAAGATTCTACTGTATTGTCCATGGCATTTACATCTTGATCATGAAACAGGAGATGGCAGACTATCAGCATTTCCATTTAAAAAATAGATTAAATGTATCTTATCAATAGTAGCCAGCCACAAAGGGATTTTTAAGGCAACACTTCCTTACTGTTTAACAATACATAAATATAAAGCTAATTTCATGATTTTCGGTTGCATGCCACACAATGAGTGTTTTGAATTAACAGCTATAATTACTGTAAATATTAATTTATTTGTTTTGTTTTCCAGAGTGGGTTCCCCCTCAGCCGGAGCCACTATACAGTCCAACATGTCTGGAGACTGAGCCTCTTTGCACAGACCCCGGAGAGGGTGCTGTGGTGTATCTAGCAGATGGAGGTCTGAGCACATTTGATTACTGAGTGCATAATACTTGAAGCATAACCATGTTGTGATATTAAATGGTTTTCAATAGAAAAAGATACATAGTACTATCTTAGAAGTAACTGAAAAAGAGAAACTGAAGAGGGAATCCAGTTGATCAAGCAAAAGACCAAGATCTACAAGTATTTATTTAGAATAATCTGCAAGTATTTATTTAGAATACAAACACCACTCAAAATGCACATGTGTTGAAATATAATGGCAGACAGTGGTTGTTACTGAGCAAGTAACAGGCTGTTATCCTAAAGATAATGTCATGGGCAACTAGTTGCATATACTTTCTGGTGGCCCTGGATGACAGAAGGCTCATTCTGTATGTATAAGAAACTTAGTTATCCATCTGGGGCTACACTGAGCATCAAAATGAAGATACAAATACACAGTTAAGTGTGAATGTGCATTTGTTTTAAGCTACACACATGTATAGTCTGCAGCTGCATGCAGATCTGGTTTTTTGAATGGGGGAGATTAACATGGGAGCAAGCCCTATTGAATTCAGCAGAATTCACATTCATTGACACAATGAGTGTAACTGTCCTCTCTCTGGCCCACAATTCTGGATTCCAGAAATCCCGAAAGCTTTATTAAAGAGTTCCGTACACAATCTCTGCATCAGCTCAAGATACAGGTTACAAGGTTAAAAGGCACATCAACAGAGTCTAAAATACATGGCTAGACATAAGTGAAGACATTGTTCCAACACATGTTGTGCACCTTCCACTCTGGAGCTCATAATTCATGTAGTTTCCCTCCCAAGCAAGAAGACTGAGCTTGCAGGTATGTGCTCCTGTGGGGATGGATCTGTTTGCACTTGCACTGTCAGTGGCGTGCTCTTGACAATGGAACTTGAGTCCAGGCCTGCAATCTGGTTGGCTTCATTCATTGACTGGACAGCTCCTCTATTAGTGTGGGAACCCAGAAAGCAAGGTGGGGTTCCCCATCCCCTTCCGGAACATCTGATAGCCCCAGGTCAGGGTCCCCCTCCACATCATTGCTTGAGCTTTCCCCAACCCCCTTCTCAGCCTTTTCATCTGACCGATTACCACCCCATCCTACTTGGTGGCGTGGGGCCCGTGACAGTAGCTGATATTTTGAGGCAAAAATATTATTATATAACACATATGAAAGTTAGTGTAAGCATTAAGAAAACACTGCAGGATTGAACAAAGGCAGTGACACTTGCTTAGAGGGATGCTATGTACAGAGGCTGTATTCAGATGCTGGATATATAAACCCAATAGCTACCATTTTAAACAGCTGTCTATATGATGCTGAATACTTCTTGACCAAATTTTAGTTTTGAAATTCCTAAGGGAAATCAGGCAATTCTGCCGTGGCACTAGGACACCACCAAGTGGGTAGTCTCTGAGTGAGCCCTCCCTTCTTGCACAGAATATTTTTCTAATAGTAATTCACAACTGAAAAATAATTGTATATTTTGCTTCTCTCACTAGCTGATAAAGAGTCCAGCTTTATGTATTCTCGAATAGGGGGCAGCTTCCCCTCAAAGCAGGTGCTTCCTCAATCATGGGATGACTGGGACAATACTTTGATCTTTGAAGCACGATTTGAAAGTGGCAATCTGCAAAAGGTGGTCAAAATGTAGGTTGCTCACCATTTCCCTTTGATTTGCAGGAGTAGTTGCTGGTTTCTGTCTGCATTTGTTCTGGCATTAAAGGGTGATATCCAACTAAGTAATTACTTGAAGTAGTCACATTGAAATCAGTAGGTTGACTACTTAGACTGAGTATGGGTATCACCTGTACTCTTGTTTTGGCAGACCTGGATTAATAGCTTAGAAAACTTGAAATGCAGATATCCATATACACTTGCAGGAAAGTTTGTATTGGCTTAATAGAATCCCAGAATCACTCAAAGAGGACTAATTTCTGACCACTCAGCACTTGTACAAAATATAGACAGTCAGGACCACAAAAACGCTCCAAATGTGTGAATTGGTATGTAATCATATGTGAATCAAAATAAAGCAGTAAGATAAAACAGCTAATGAACATAATTGTAAAATACAATATATATTGAAAGACATAAGAGAATATAACTTAACTGCTCATTCAAGACATCTGAGAATTTGATCTAAGCTCACCATAAAGATCATTTGGACTATTTTTAAAATACAAATATGTGCATGAACAAGTTCCTTATAAGTTTATTATAGGAAACAAAATCTACAAACAATTTTTTGTGAAAGAAATTTGGGTTTAAAAAGATACATTTGAAATAAGAGAGATAAAGGAGCAGCATATATCATGTTTCATAACTGCCTGAATGCCCAACAGTATATTATATACTAAAATACTTTTCTCCTTTTCCCATGTCAGTAGTGATTTTGAGTACCAGCTGACACTACGCACTGATCTCTACACAAATAAGCACACCCAGTGGTACTACTTCCAGGTCACCAACACCCAAGCAGGAATGCCCTACCGTTTCACCATTGTCAACTTCACCAAGCCAACAAGTTTGTATAATCGTGGTATGCGTCCGTTGCTGTATTCAGAAGCAGAAGCAAAGATCCACAAGGTGGGGTGGCAAAGGACAGGAGATGAAATCAAGTATTATAAAAACAATCTCGGCCAAGGTGGGCGCCAGTATTTTTCCCTGACATGGACGTTCCAGTTCCCGCACGACAGGGATACCTGCTATTTTGCCCACTGCTATCCTTACACTTACAGTAACCTGCAAGACTACCTAGCAAACATTGCTGCAGACCCAAGGCGGTCCAAGTTCTGCAAGATCCGCATCTTGTGCCATTCCCTGGCTAGGAACATAGTCTATGTTCTAACCATCACTAACCCCTTGCAAGATTTTCAGGAGGAAAAACGCAAGGCAGCGGTGATTGTGACTGCCAGGGTGCACCCAGGTGAAACGAATAGTTCCTGGGTGATGAAGGGCTTTCTGGATTACATTCTGGGGGATTCAAATAATGCCCAGTGGCTTCGGGACACTTTTGTTTTTAAGGTGGTACCAATGCTGAATCCAGATGGTGTGATTGTAGGCAATTACCGCTGCTCTTTAGCAGGCAGGGACTTAAACCGCAACTATAAATCGGATCTCAAGGAATCATTCCCTCCCATCTGGTGTACCCGCAGCATGATCAAAAGGTAAAAAGGTAACACCATCCCTCTTCTGTGTCCAGTATCACCACTCTTTGTTCATTATTATACCAATATTAATTAATACATAATGTGTATTCATCTTGTTGCATTGAACTTATTTTTTGTTCAAATTTTGTTGAAATTTTAGATACATCTAAATGTTGTTGTAATACTTTCCCTGATTGGCATGTAGAAGGCCTCCAGGAAAATCATGTTAGCACTCCCTGCTGCTGAGGACAGGCAGGGACATGTGATAAAGTTAGAATTATAAAACCAGAGGCAGATTCTCAAGCCCATCCCCACTTCCTTTCCCTGCCCAGCCTAGGATAGAGTATTCCTTCAGCTTCTGCTAGAATTCTATTCAAGACATTTTATCTTGTAATTATTAGCTTTTTCTCTATTTGCTGATCTTTAGCCTGTTCCTTTTTTGTTTTCACCTGTTTCCCACTGTGTGTTTAAAAAAAGAAAAGACTAATTTAGTTGCTCTCTTTCTCTGGTTTGGCTGCCTGTCCTTCATGGCTTCATCAGGAAAAGCCACTTCTGCTCCCTGGTTTCCCACGGGCATCTGGTTTGGCCGCTGTGAAAACAAGATGCTGGAGTAGATGGGCCACTGGCCTGGTCTAGCAGGCTATTCTTATGCTCTTATATGTATAGGGATAGGGGAAACGAGCCCTGCGTATTTCAAATATTTAATGTGTACATAGAGCTATCGGTGATCTTACAACTCCTGACCTCTCTTGCTGCATGGGATCTGGCATCAGTCCAGAACATGAGAGCCCATCAGGAAGTCTGATTTTCTTTTTCTTGTGTTTGTTTTCACTCTACTTACTTCCCTGGAAAAAAACCAAACTGCAGTCAAGGTGGTTTTTGAGTTGAGGGTTTAACGGCAGGTTTGTCTGGGTCTTAATTTGGGCCATCTGTTTTGGGCTCAGATCTGGAAGTTAGCTTTGGGAAGTTGCATTTTCCTGAAGGCCTCCTACACACTGTCCAGGAAATGAAGCTTGTTAGTCATTGTGAGTGTGGGTTCTGGTGGGCATGCAGGAGGCCTCCTTCTCCACCCTGGCTTAGTACAGATGGCACTAGTCATCACTGGTTTTTGAATGTTTTAAATTACCTGTTTTTAACGGTCTTTTACTGATAATTTTTATTTAATGTAACCTTCTTTGAGGTTTTATTATGATAAAGCAGAACAAACATTTTATCAAATGTAAAATGAAATAAAAATAAATCATCTTAGTCTTTGGGGGTTCGGTCCTTCCAGTTTAAACCATGCCCTTTTCAGAGGTGCTTTTCTTTCCTTTCTGTATGTGTTTGTTTGTTTGTTCCTTCAGTCGCACACTCTCTCTTTTTCTCTGTCTTTCAACAATGGTTGGAACTTGAGAGGGGCTGAGGAACTGGCTGTATTATTCTAACTTATTCATATGCTCCTTCCTTCCTTCCTTCCTTCCTTCCTTCCTTCCTTCCTTCCTTCCTTCCTTCCTTCCTTCCTGGTGATGGGTTTAACACATTGTTTCCATTGAAGACTCCTGCAAAGCCACTGGAAGGGAATATTCACAGTGAAGTAACCAGTGTTCCATTCTAATGAACATAGACTGGAAAGACCAACCTCTGGAGAAGGAAGGGAATTCCCCTATACCAATAAAGGGGACTATTTTCCTCAACAAAGCTCTTTAATCTTCTGTTAACTATGTTTTTTACATAATGACAGCAACTTATGTGATAGCTCTGTTTTTTAAACATTTGTCACGTATCGGCTGCAATGGAAAAAGCATTTTAATATTGTGCATTTAGTATCTGTCATTGGAAAGGCAGTGATGGCCTAATAGGTGCAACTCAGCTCTTATTGGACTCAAGGGAAAAGCTCCCCTGACACTAATGCAGCTAACCAATGCCCTAGTGCAGGTTGTTCCAGTAGAAAAACAATCCGTCAAGCAATGATCATCTTTAATACCTTTAAGAGATTTCCTAAAATTGCCCAAAAAATAACCCAAAAAATCAAGTGTGTCTGATTTGCAGAAACCAAAGCTGCTCTTATTTAACTTTCTACCTTGTTACAGAATGATGGGAGAGCGCAAGGTTCTCTTATATTGTGACCTTCATGGTCACAGCAGAAAAGAAAATGTCTTCATGTATGGCTGTGAAAAACGAGATCGTCAAGAAGAAGGGGCAGGCTTACACCAGCGCGTTTTCCCTCTCATTATGAGCAAACGCTGTCCCGATAAAGTAAGCTGACATTTAACATTAATATGTAAGAAATCATCTCTTTCAGTACATTAAAAAATTGCTAAATCACTTGACAGTTTTCTACGTCATTTCAATGATCTAAACATTGTAAGAAGTTTGTGCTTTAAAAATAAGGGATTATATTGCGATAGTTGTTAAACATACTAGGAGTTTCCTTAGTCAGTCCCTTTAGGAGCATGCACCATGACATGAAGTTATTATATCATGCACTTCCTTCTGCCCCTGCCCTCTACCCCACATCTGTAACAGCCTATAATGCACAGTGGGCAAGAAGACATGAATGACTTGACAACATGACATCACCAGTAAACCAAACTATGTGCTGAGTAAGACTGTGGCACGGGGAGGCCATTTCTGGGCACAGCTGTATAGTTTTGGCCTCGTTGCAAAAGCGCAGTAGTAATTCCACTTCTCTCTCTGTTAAGTTCTCGTTCCAAGATTGCAATTTCAAGATACAAAAAGCTAGAGAAGGGACAGGTCGAATAGTGATGTGGAAGATGGGCATCAGCAACAGCTATACCTTAGAAGTTACTTTCTGTGGGTCTAAACTGGGTAAGGCAAATATAGTTTTTCTCTAGAATCTATATTTAAAGCATTCAAAGAAGTATCATGTCTTGTAGCTGCAGATTCTTTAAGAGATAATGTGAGCTTATTGTGTTTGACAGATAAATACTACATAGGAAGACATGTTGAAACGTTAACGTTATAGGTGTATATTAAAATTGCATTTGGCCCAAGAAATAGTGGTTGTGGGTACCAAATGTACCAATTACAGGGAGTAAATGACTACAGAAGGGTGGGATATTGGCTAATGAGTTTAAAACTGAGTTTATGCTTACCTGAAAGTCAGTTAAGGTGTATTTACACAACAGACTAGCAGTGATTCCCTCTTTGGGTACTGTAGTTCTTTGAAGTTGGGTAAGTAGGAATCTCTAACACAGAATTCTCACACTTTCACAACTTTGAAGCTGTGGTTGTTGAACTGATATCAAATATTTATCTACCTTATACTGTAGATATGTCCTTGTGAAGGAATCAGACTAAGACTATTTAACAAGAAATAGCAATTTTTTATATAGTTTTGTGTGGAAATTATTGGTGTTAATTTGCATCCTACTGTCAACCTTAAAAAAGGTAAAGGTACCCCTGCCCGTACGGGCCAGTCTTGACAGACTCTAGGGTTGTGCGCCCATCTCACTTAAGAGGCTGGGGGCCAGCGCTGTCCGGAGACACTTCCGGGTCACGTGGCCAGCGTGACAAGCTGCATCTGGCAAGCCAGAGCCGCACACGGAAACGCCGTTTACCTTCCCGCTGGTAAGCGGTCCCTATTTATCTACTTGCACCCGGGGGTGCTTTCGAACTGCTAGGTTGGCAGGCGCTGGGACCGAGCAACGGGAGCGCACCCCGCCGCGGGGATTCGAACCGCCGACCTTTCGATCGGCAAGTCCTAGGCGCTGAGGTTTTACCCACAGCGCCACCCGCGTCCCACTGTCAACCTTAGATGGCAGATAAACACTTTGGGAGATGGTAGAAAATAATGAGGAAAAGTGTGAATGTGAGGCAGACTAATCTGCAAAGAAGCTAAGGCAGAAGTGTACTTGTTTGGTTTATCTGTGGATTGCGTTATTTTAAAAAAGGTAGCTGAAGGTTATAATTGGAAAGCAAAGGGTATAATTGGAAAGGCAAAGGAATGGAGGTTCTCAAAAGGAGCTATGGGAAGGAGTTTGGGAATATGGAATGTGATAAGCAATTTGATGAACTTTTGAAAGTAAAAGATTTAAAATAAATATAAAATGTTTTGCTAACAAAAATGTGTTATTGGGTTGGTAGCAGTCCAAATTAAAATGTGGAATTCCATCAGTGGAATTAAAATAATTGCTGATATTGAATAGGACAGTTATTTCTTCACTGGTGACTTGTTCCCCCCCCCTTTTCCAGGCAGTAGACATGGTACCCACTTTAGTACCAAGGATCTAGAATCCATAGGACACCATTTCTGTGGCTCACTGTTGGACTTCTGTAATAAAAAGAAGAGTAAGGTAATGCAAATAGACATTATTTCTTGCAGCAGTAATATCTGCAGCAATTATGTACTTAAAGGAATACAGTCAAAGTATTTTTTATTATTTGGAAGTAGTGAAGCAGTAAATTTTATTGTTAACAGTGTGTGTTTTTCCTTAGTATAACGAGTGCCTGAATGAATTGGAGGAAATGCTGAAAAAGGGTGATCTATCTGCCTCTGTCAATGACAGAGATTCCAGGTAAAAGGACCTCTTCTAACAATTGTTTTATTTCTAGCTTGTTATTGAGGAAATCGGTGCCATGCTTTCCAGATGTGTTTGCGGAGCAGATAATTGATTTGTTGTGCAGACAAATTCTAGAAATCCATACTCTTGTAAATGAAAATAAACATAATTATTTTTCTTTTACAGTTCTGACAGTTCAGACTCCAATGAGGTTACCGTTAAACTAGAAGCCCAGGTACGATATACATTATCATCAAAAATTCAGCTTTAGTAAGATTTTACTTGAAATGAATTTCCTTGAAATGTAATATAATGATATACAGAACAGTATACTGATGTTTAGTTGCAATGTGTCAAAATAATATAGACACACCAATTTTTTTATTCATAAGAAATATACTGGAAAACAAAAAGAAACAACTAGCAGTGCTTGATTTATAATGTAGAACACAACTACTTTATAATATCAACTTGAATGGCAGATTTAGAATTCTTCATACTATCGGAAACACGCTTCTCAATATTAAATGACATATCAACTATTCTTCTATAAATTGTATCTTCAGACAAAGGAATTTTCACAGTCAAGGCTCAGGCAGGCTTAATTGATTTTTCCTGCTGTTGTATGTGGTTTTGTCTGTTGAGCAATCCATTCTGTCACTTGGTAAGATATAATTTGCATCTTATCTGAGACTTTTACTCATTTTTTGAAATACGTTCGCTGGTATTTCTGCTGTTCCAAAAGCCTTTCAAAATATTGAACCTTCTTGTTTGCCAGATTTCCGTGTTTTGACAGCAGACGTCTTGTCATCTTGTTTAGGGCCATGTTGGAATTGGAAAGCTTCTCGCCGCAGATCAAACACATAGGCTGAGGGACGTTTTCATCTCCAGCCCATGTGAAACTGAGACTCAGATAGATATCCACATATTGCTGACAAACGTGGATCACTAGGATTGTTTTCAGTATCACTTGATGCACTTATGCTCATTTTGAAAAGATAGCTATCCATATTCTGCAAATAAAAAAAAATATTTTGATACTGTACTACACTACACTGAAATGTTTGACTATTTCTTGGATTGTCCTTGAAACTTTCCACCACTTGCCATCCTTTCCTGCCAGAACCTCTGCTTTAAAGAGTCTTCTTGAACCAGACACAGCAGACCACAATATTGTTATTGTGAGTAGCAAGTGGTGGCACCTAGTTTTGCTCTACAGTGGTACCTCAGGTTACATACGCTTCAGGTTACACACTCCACTAACCCAGAAATAGTATCTCAGGTTAAGAACTTTGCTTCAGGATGAGAACAGAAATCATGCTCCGGCAGCACGGTGGCAGCAGGAGGCCCCATTAGCTAAAGTGGTGCTTCAGGTTAAGAACAGTTTCAGGTTAAGAACGCACCTCCGCAACAAATTAAGTACTTAACCTGAGGTACCACTGTACTTGTCTCCCTGCACAGCAAGATCAGTTCTGTCTTCTGATAGGCCCAGCTCCCATCATCACCGAGGGAGGTGGGGTGAGGCAAGAAGCAGCTGGCTGGGCACAGCCCTTGCCTCCCTCCCCCAAGACTTATAGCATGCACTTCTTGTTAGTTGGGGACATATGAAAGGTGCAGAATAGGTGGGGCTGGACAAGACATACACACATACTGTGAGTGATAAATCAGAAATCAAACGTGGAGAACATATGTTCAAAGAGGGAAAGATGCCATGCTAAAAAGTCGTTTCATTTAGGGGGAAACTAAGCATTTCAAGAAATATTACTTTGGTGCTACTGACAAAACTAGAAACCTCAAAATAATAGTCTTCATCTCTATCAATAACATCTGATACAATTTACCCCATCCCTTGGCTGACATTGTTACACGGTGTTTCCTCCCCAGTCCAGTCATTGGGGTGCATTGGGCTGCAGCCATTGATGTGGAGGAGGGTGAGGAGATGCACATTTTATTTTCAGGAAATCAGGATGAATTGTGTTAGATTTTATTGAGGAGGATTTGGGATGTGAAATGGGGGCATGTCTGCCATTTAGTTGTTCAACATCTAGTTGACACAACATCTAGTTGTTCCCTTAAATCCTTTTGAGTTACTAAGATCTAAGAATAAAATTTAAAGGTTAAATAAAGAAAAAATATAATGTAGATGACTGTAATCCTATTAAACCTAGATATACATTTTAATTTGTTTGTTTGTTTTGCTTGTTAGGCAAAACCAAGAAAGAAGCATCTGAAAACCAAGAAAGAAAGGAGTGCCTTTCTGGTGTCATCAGGAAGAAGATTTTCTAAAGCAACCCCATGAATCAATTGTAAAGCATTATTATTATTATTAATAATTATTATTATTGTTGTTCATCATCATCATCATCATCACTAGGTATTAACAAGATTAGTGGGGTTGCCATATTTTGAAGAGCAAAAAAGAGGAGACACACACACACCTCCTTGATTTATTTGTTACTTCCCCTGCTCCGCACAGCCAGTGGCCCTTATGCTTTGTGACCCCCAACACTCCCCCTGCCCACCCACAAGGGGCCACAGACTATTGTTATTGTGCATCACAACCCAAGCAAAGCAGTCAGAGATTCCTCAAACTCTTCTCCTCAACCCATATACTCAACACCCTCCTCCTGGGTCTCGCCCAGGCAGCTGTCAGAGGAGGAGAGCCAGCAGGGAGAGAATTGGCAACACGTGACACCTCGTGCACCTCCACTGCTGCTGCTCTCTCTCTCTCGCTCTCCCTCTCCTCACAAACCCAGTTCCTGCCTCAGCACTGCCCACCAATGGCTGGGGTGTGTGTGAGGGAGGAGGCCTGGGTGGCCAAGTCCTCTTTCCACCCCAACCAACCCTGTTGGAAAAGGCCAGGAATGCCATGCATTAGATGGACCATGTCCATCTAAACGGAAAAAAACCAACTTGGCCATTTTGCTTAATTTTAAAAATCCTCCCAGACAGACATTTTAAGCCTGAAAAATAGGACCTATCTCAGAAAATCCAGACTTATAGCAGCCCTAAGTATTTCTTTATGATGTATAACACTGACAGAAAATCAGAAGAATAAGCACTGTGCAATTTATTGTTTAAGAATATATTGTTGGCCTGGCAAATGCACCAATGTCATGAAGATAAACCAGGATTTTGTCACCTAAGAATTGTTACTTGACCTTCAGGATTCTATCCATCATAAGACCAGGAACAGACCTTATTCTTCACTTCTTAGATCCATCACAATAAAGTTATATACTGAACTAGGAAGATCCAGTACTTATTTGAGCACACTGGTGCAGTTCAGAAAAGGTGTCTTCAGTACTTTCTTTTGTGGAAACAGAAGGAAAGTACATCTTGAAAATTCCTGAAATATTATGAGAGTATTTTGTTTACTTTTGCATCATTTTAAGTATAATGGTTTCTCTTATAAATACAATAATCCCTTTCTTCCTGTTTAGAGTGAAACCAAAAAATCAGAAGAATCTTCCCACAGAATTTCCAAGAGCCATGAACAAATTATAAAAAGTGTAAGGATTTCTATGTATTGTGAAAGATCTGTTGCCCTTTTGTGATCAGAATAGGATTAAACAGTATACAGCACAATAGTTAACTGACAGCAAACATTAGTCAGTCAAATCTCCTGCTTATATGAATTCTAAGGTATACCCATAGGAATATAGTTGAAATGTTTGATATTTTTAGTAGCTGTTTATAATTGCTCTTTTCCTCAATTATTCAGACAAGTGAAAGTTTATACTTTGGGATAAGTATAAACTTCTTTTTTTGAAGGCTTTTTGCAATAATGTTACAGTTACTACTAATAACTGTGAAATACAGTTATTCACCAAATCAGCAAGGGAAATACTAATGTGTATTCGTATCATTAAGGATGTAGTTGCACATCTTTTTCATGTTTCTGAGCTGGGCCCATTGAACTGTTCATTGGTTTTGATGCATGTACACACCCATCTGGGTCCACTAGCTGCTGTACACAACTAGAGTTGAATAAGGACCAATTGCTGTGAGCATTTAGAATAAACCTGTGTATGTCATACATGAAGCATGCCAAGGTTGTTGAGCTTTATGTTTAGCTTTTTTTAGCGGATCTGCCAAAGTTGTTCAGCTTTTTTTGAAGAGATCGTCCCCTAAAGTTGTTGAGCTTTACCGGGGGGGGGGGCAGGCTTCTGCTAGGGGAAGGCAGAACCTCAGTTAATTGAGTACTTTCAATGCTTTTCAATAATTTTTGCCCCCCCCCCATTGGCTATGCCCATGCCATGGTATTATTTTAGTTCTTCCCATGTAAGTGAAGTGACTGGTAAGTAGTACATGTTTCTCTTTCTCCACAGACCCAGGTTTTTCAGAAACTGAAACCAATGGAGCTGCAAAACATACGAAAGGAAAAATATGAAATTACCAAGCAGACTGTAGAACCTTTGTCCAGAACACCCAATGCTAAAAAGGTTTGGCTGGCCCATTAATAGAATAATTTTCCAGATAATCAGAAAATGCATATAGCTTTATGTTAGTGACAACCAAAAGCAGAGTTTGACTTTGACATTAGGAAAAGCTAAAAGGATGCTGTGTCCTGTTGTTAAAGGGATATCTGACAATGTAACATTACCGCTTAAGATAATATGTGTGCTTAGCAATTTTATTTATTTAATTACTGAAATAGAACAGCATTGTGGAACCCACTCTAATTAAAAGAATCATAGTTCTTTTACTTTGCACAACAGTGTTTGGACAGCAGACTGTAAGGTTACCTGCTGTTTCTTTTATATCCTAGAAGATGTTAATTTGGAAGAATCTGCTCATTCCTAGGAAGTTGTTAACACCAAAGGTCCTTTACCTTTGTTTTAAGACTATCAGTAAAAGTGATTAAAAAAAGCTTTGTAGCTTTATTCAGAACAATCAATGAAATACATTGAGTAATTATTTATTTAACTTTTAGCAGGCAGGTATTCTGTTTTACAGAAATGTATTTCAAAGTATGGTCCAGTTTAAAAGAAAGGGATATTATTATATCTCAGTTCCCTGAAGAGCCTTTAGTTGCAGCGCAACAGGCAGTTTGAGCATGCTTTTCTTCCTTTGTGATTATCATAACATGTTCTGTGGCCCTTAGCTTCCCATATGCAGAAAGAGAAAGGATCATGTGTCTTTAAACAAGCAATTCTTATGAGATTATGCCTACAGATTCAGAGTATTCTAATTTGGAAGAATCTGCTCATTCCAGGGGTTAGTGGCTCAAAATTAAGAGCCAGGGTAGACATTACATACAGGAAAAAATAAAGACAATACTCATAAATCCCAGATTGGAATCCACTAATAATTCATTTCAAATTGGTTACACGGACCCTCTGAAAGAAACCCAAAGCAAAATGGTGAGTGATTCAGGTAAAACCAGAAAATATCAGGGATCATGAAGGAAAAGAAACTAAGAGAACTTGCTCTGTCAACCCACTATGTGTACCTATTAAGCCCTCTATGGATTAGTTTAATATGGTTTGAACATCTTTTCATTGAACAAAAATATTCCACAACAACCCAAATCTAGAACTTGCTACGGGGACAGAAGCTCCATAAAACAGCAAATGTTTAAGAATAAGTGAACAAAGCTGTTAATTTACTGCTGAGAGACTTGAAAGGTCCTTTCCTGTGACCCCTGTTTCAGGGGGTGAGAGAACAGTACCTGATTGCTGCAATCCACACACAGCACAGCATTAATATCAGCCAACATTAATATCTCATGCATCCAGATGGCTGATGAGACTATTATGTGACTAGCACAAATAACACAGGTTTTTGTTATAAGCTTGCCTGCATCACTGCAGGAGTGTCCCCAGACAAAATGTTTCTGCCTTTCTAGGAATGCTCTGAGCACTTTTGGGAATGCGCTAAGGAGGAAAATGGGAAGCTGCCATACAGAGGTTGGGTCGGCACCAACACCTCCTTCCACGCCAGTCTGAAAGGAAGACGGAGGAGACATTTTGAGGTAAGCAGAAATGGTGTTGCACGGAATGACCCATTACTGACTCTGCAGTTGCAAATTGCGGCTAGCAAGTTGTCATGCAGAGTCCTTCTAATGCTTGCTTGCTCTCTCAACCTTATTTCCATATTTGCATTACAGCAATATTTGCTTTGCTCAGTTTATATTTTGAAGAGCTGTTCCCAGTTGTGTGCTTAATATTAGGAGCCTTGATGGATCATTAGCCTGATGCTGCAAAGCAACTCCTTGTATCTATAGAGCAGTGTTCTAGAAAGGGCTGGAGCTATTTTATTAGGAAACCTCTACTTTAGGAAAGTGATGGCTAACCTGTGGCTCTCAGTATATTGTTGGACTCCACCTTCATTCATCCTAGTCAGTATGGCCAGTAGTGAGGGATGATGGGAGTTGTAGTCCAGCAACATCTGGAGGCCAAAAGTTAGCAACCCTGGTTTAGTCAAAACAGATGCATGAGTAAATTTTGCTCTCGGACTATGATATTATTCAGTAAGATTGTATGGTATAATGTTACGATTTTAACTTGTTAATGGTGGCTGCCTAAAAATAAAAACAAATGCATTCAATTGGGTTTTCACATCATTATCTGACCACACATACTATGTGGATATTGCTTAGAAACACTGACTGTGTCAGGGAATGTTGGCTATATGGGGAATGTCTTTTCTGTAAGCTCCAGCCATTCAGTAAGCCAGAGTTGACCACATTCCTGCCAGTGTCACAGTGTATACGCCTTAAAGGTGGATTATACAAATACTCTGAACTCTTTCCTCTCCCCCTTCTGTTTCTTAAAAGGGTGCTGTTTTCCTTTTTGATATTGCAATTGCAATACTGCATGGGTTGTCAGCATGTCACAACACAAGCAGGACAGCTAGCAGGTATCTGTGGCATTTGGACAGAGGCAGGAAGGCACACATTTCAGGTTAGGACATAGTCGCAGGTGTTTCCGCTTGCCTCCCTTTCCTATGCTGTGCTGCTGTTTGCTTCCCAGAACAAAGCCAAACTACATCAGAGACACTAAGCAAAGGTTACACTAGAATGGTACTATCCCATACTTCACTGCTATGATGTTTACGTGGCGTCCATTTTGGACATTTCCTCCTGTGCTTTGAAACTCCAGCTAACAGTTTGCCAAGAAAATGGTTAGCAATCAAATATTATACAGTTTTTTTAGCTGGAGTGATAGTTTCTAAAGAAGAGGAAAGCTTTCTTAGTAAGCAAAAAGGCAGGGTACATTAAAAAAAAAAGTAATTACATCCAAGGGATGATAAAATAAGCCTTAAAGGCTGAAGAACTACTTTAGACATTGCATACACCAAAATCTCGCAAGCACACAGAGCCTAAACGTTTGGGGTATAAAGGCTAATTTGTTCATTTGGTGCAAGGATATGCTTGCATAACAAAACTTCCCCACCCACCCTATCTTGTGTGTCCTGCATCATCCTCAATTCTGCTCCAGAGGATTGGGGAAAACCTCAGCACAGGGGGAGGAGAGGGACAGAAGTGCCACAGCACAAGCTTATGCTGACAGAACAAGTTAATTAGCGTTGCATTGGATATAACTCTACAGTTCAGTGCTTCTTTACAACAAACTAATTTCAGACTTCGGGTGGGAAGTTTAATAATAATAATGCATTTGCCTCCTTTTACTCTTGCAGTCAAAAGCCTTAGCAGGGCTTCATAAATTCCTCAGAGAAACTAACTCAGTTGTAGAAGGTAAACTTCATGAAATGTCGTTTGATTCCCAAGCAGGTAAGAGATAACATGGGCATAAACTGTTCTATGAACGTGTGAACCTTTTTGTTTGAAAAAATAATATAGGTATTTACAAAGTTGTAAGAAAAGAATTAATTTGTTTTAGTCATAGTCATCATCAGTGCAGATACAGCGTCATGCTGTTAAAGCAATCCATGAAAGGGAAAGAGGAATTCATGCACTGAGTATCTGTGAGGCCATGGCATGCTTCTAGAACATTGCATCTACACTGGACAATAGAATGGTGGCATGCAGATAGCAGCCTCTGCTTTTTGTTCCCTATTCAGTCCAATGTACAGAACAATTACAAAGGACGATTACAGCAAAAGAACTGGGATTTAATAGCAACTAACATTGCATTTATCATATTTTTTATGGGGAGCTCTTCTCACACTATATGAAAAGCATTTTCTCCCATTTGATAAAGTTTTCTAGAAAGTGGATCATGCTTTATATTCCCTAAATATTTAGAATACTCTAACTGGATACTTCCTAAACTTCCAATTCTATGCGTTAGCATGAAATTAGAAACACAGAAAGCATTTGGGGGTAGGGGAAGGTACCATGTTGCAGAAGATTTGCACATCCTTGGATTGTGCTGTTCCTTCACCTCCCCTCCTTCCCTTTAATTCTTCCAGCCTTCCAAATGGTCTGCTGGGAAATAAGCATACTGCACATAGGTGTATGGGAGATACTGGATGCTCTGAATCAGTACATGAGTGATCTCAGAAACTCTAGGTTGCCATGCCCTAAGCTTTATAGCTTGGTTTATCCTGTTATCTGATACATGTTTATATGTACGTATCACCTTCTCAATCTACTTGATGCATTTGATAGTAGACTGATATGAAAAGTCAGCCAACAAGAAAACAGAAGGATATCAGTCTTTCTCAGACAATCATTGGAGGAGGTTGTCTGTAGCATAGGATATTTCCAGATCATGTAGTACCATACCATTCAGAGTTTCATTCAATACGGCAGCAGGACAAAGACTTAGGCTCATATGATTTCATGAAACAATGTTTTTCTTAAATGTTTATTGGTTGTTAAATTTTAGTGAATATTACCAAATTGTATAATTCTTTATAACAACATATAATGCTCTGGGAAAGCAACTAATAGTTTTCATGTGTTTCCATATTTTCTAATCTTTTCTTGATAACCTATACATTTCCTAGGACTTGTATACAGTGCTGATACAGTACTGAATATGTAACAACATTTTCATTTGGCTGTTTGGTTCTTTGCCTCCCACCATTCCCCAGAGAATAGATTTCCTAGACATTCTTTGGAATGCCTTGTTTTTGTACTTTGCCCGTAAATAGGCATGCATGCATTAAGGACATCTAAAGACATGTATCCAATTAAGTTGACGCTAGTCCACAAAGCTCTTTCGGTAATATTTTGTTTAGCCTTTTAAGTTGTCACAAAACTCTTTCTCCCTTTTCTATAAAAGTTAAATGTGTATTCTTTCTGAGATTCATTTTATGATCAGTTTATGACAGTTGTGGCCATCTTTCAGATTCTATGCCAGATGAACGAAATAAATATACAGTTCAGTACGTCAGCCATTACTTTCCTGAACAAGGATTAAGTAAGTTACTCATATCTTTAATTCATATAATCTTGTGTCTAGACACAGGTTCTACTGTATGTGCAATTATAAGCAATACAATGAAAGCCATGTATTGCATAAAATAGACATTTTACAGCCTGATCCTATGCATGTTCACTCACAGTTTCCACTAAGTTCAATAGGGCTTGCTTTCAGGGTAGAGAGCATTGGAAGACAGTTTTAGAGCATAGAGAATGAGCTAATGGAGATGTACACCAGAAGCATAAATTCATGCAAGCAAGAATAAACTCAAAAAATTTATATTTTGTCCTTCCCTTTAAAATAATACTCTGTGTCTGGTTCCGGCCTTTGTTTCCTACAGATATTGGCTGGGACCTAGCCCAACCTTTGAAGCACATCATCTCACAGAGACTTTTTCTGCCTCCTGCCATCCTTGACCAGATGTGCAACACACCAAGAAGACACCAAGGTGCACTCTCGGGTTGCAAACTTCCTAGGGTGGAAAATATGAGAAAAGAAGCAAAAATTCCACGAAGAAGTAAGTCAACTGAATACTTGGGGATATACTGTGGTCTAAACCACTGAGCCTTTTGGGCTTGCTGATCAGAAGGTTGGCAGTTCAAATCCTAAACGGGGTGAGCTCCCGTTGCTCGGTCCCTGCTCCTGCCAACCTAGCAGTTCGAAAGCACGCCAGTGCAAGTAGATAAATTGTGGCAGGAAGGTAAATGGCGTTTCCGTGTGCTCTGGCTTCCATCACAGTGTTCCGTTGTGCCAGAAGCGGTTTAGTCATGCTGGCCATATGACCCGGAAAGCTGTCTGTGGACAAACGTCGGCTCCCTCAGCCTGAAAGCGAGATGAGTGCCGCAACCCCATAGTCACCTTTGACTGGACTTAACTGTCCAGGGGTCCTTTACCTTTTTTACTGCATGTAGTAGCACTACAGTTCTTTCTATGAAAGCCCATGGCACATTTTGGGGGGAGGTGCTGCGCATTTGGCTCCTCACACCACCCTGTTGGCCTGTGCCACTGGGATCTGATCTGAATGATTTACTGGGCGTAAGGAAACTTTACAGAGGGGGAAAGGTTATTTCATATAAAGGCAGCATTTCCTGAAACATTTTCAGTAGCATATTATTTTTCTTTTCTACTTACAGCCTCTCTCATACATGTGGAGTGTCATCCTAGGTAGGAAAACTTATTATTTGTTATCAGCAATCTTCCATGTGGATTTCTCAGTCATATTCTTTATATCTTTATGATTTGGGTTTGGAAAGAGTGTAACATCCTTCTTGTTTTCAGATTTCTAAAAAACTGTATTATTCAGACGGGCCAACCAGCTCTTATTGATGTGCTTAATGCTTTTATTGGATGATGATAATGATGAAAAATTATATACAGTGGTACCTTGGTTTTCTAACATCTCTGTTGACGAACATTTTGGTTTTCGAATGCCGTAAACCTGGAAGTAAATGCTTCACTTTTTGAACACACCTCTGAAGTCGAACATGCCACGTGGCTTCCGCTGAGTGCAAGATCCTGAAGCCTAGCTGTTGGCTGTTGAGTTTTCAAACGTTTCAGAACTCGAACCATCTTCCGGAACAGATTACATTAAAAAACCGAGGTACTACTGTACCACCCTTTATCAAAATATCCCAGGGTGATGTACAACCTTTTAAAAAGATTACAGAACATCAATGATAAAAACATAATAAAAGCATAATAAAAAGCATTCTGACAGACAGCCTAATAATAAAATGGTCAATTTAAATGCTTTTTGTGCATTCTTTCAAAAAAAAATTGCACAAAACAGGGTGGAATGGATTTAAGATGACTGAGTGCCAAAAGAACAGGTTTAGGTTAATCTGTCTATCCCTAATTAGAAGAGTACTGAACTCTTATGTTGAATGCAATGGCATTTTGAGATGCTTAACTTGGGATGGACTGTGCCCTGAGTCATGTCACCAGTGCGCTGTGTCTTAAAATGACAAATTAAAGCTTAAACTAAGACACTGTGTTTTATTTTTATTTGTGAATGCTAAATTGTATAGCAATTCTGTATTAAACAAGCATTTATATATCATCTTGGATTTTATACTGCAATTGCTACTTCATTTCATGTATTTATTTTATTTTATTCTGTGGCCTTAATCTGTTTCAGCTCTCTGGTTCTCCAGGCAACTGGAGAAAATAACACTGAAAGGGGTTGTGTCACATTGGAGTTAGGAGAAAAAGAAGTACAAAACATGGCCCTGGCTCAAGAAACACATTTTAATTCTTTACACAACAAAGCTACAACTTGGCGATTAGAGAAGTGTCGACCTGGAAGAGCCACTAGTTGCAGAGAGAAGACATCTTTACAAGCGAAAGGTTTCTTTCCCGCCTTCATCATTGAAATTATTAGCAAAAGACTCAAGTACAGTGGTACCTCGGGTTAAGAACTTAATTCATTCTGGAGGTCCGTTCTTAACCTGAAACTGTTCTTAACCTGAGGTACTACTTTAGCTAATAGGGCCTCCCGCTGCCTCTGTGCTGCCAGAGCATGATTTCTGTTCTCATCCTGAAGCAAAGTTCTTAACCCGAGATATTATTTCTAGGTTAGTGGAGTCTGTAACCTGAAGCGTCTGTAACCTGAAGCATCTGTAACCCGAGGTACCACTGTACACTAGTATGGATGTTGCAGCATGTCATCAAAATTTCCATAATGGTCCTCTGTTCTACTCTGCTGTGTTTATTTCTGTATCTATTCTAATCTATTAATCTAATCTAATCTATTAATGAATGTTGGGGCTAAGCCCTGAGAGTTGCAACTCAAATTGATCTCTGGAACAAGTAATAATTTACAGGAGTTTTTTGTCTGTTTTTGATCCCAGATCTTCTTGACAACCTGAAACACAATTTAGATGACAAAGAAAGGAAAATAAAGGAGAAATCACCAGCAAGCAATGTTAAAGTTGACAGAAACAATGGAGGAAATCATGAAGGAAGTTTTAGACTCAGTGAGCCCTCTCATACACAAGATTTTCTACAACTCTCCTTACCTTCGGTGTCAGAAGGAAAGTATAGGCAAGTCACTGAAAAATACCAGAAGAATGAACAGCAACCTAAGTTGTCCTTAGGTCGGCCCCGGTAAGTGAACAAGACTGCCTGTTTCATGCAACATTCAGTGTGTCTGCTCTGAAAAGATGCTTTAGCATTAACTGTATCGTAGCTTGTGCTCCCTGAAGACAGAATGCTATGCGAAGGAAGAACCTGATGCCAATATTGCACCTGAAACAGTGTAACCTCCACTGCCCATGCTGCTTCCACAATTGCTACTCTTCGTCATTCACAGGCATCTTCTACACACTGGGGGAAACCAATGTACCAAGAGAGCATAAACTCTTCCATGCCAATATGCCCCTAGAATTCATGTTGCCGCTCAGTGGGACCCCATACTCTCTGGGTGGAGTTATTTCAGTCTCCCAATAGCACACATGACTATTCTATGAAATCAAGTCTGTGCAAATAAGAGTTTGAATTTTCTGTTCCAATGCTTAAGAAGCCCCTTGATACAGATGGTCAGTGGGCTTGTTCATACATCACACTTAGACATAGTTTGTTTTAAACCATGGCTTAATCATGAATGTGCCTTCTATGCCTCCCTGCAAATGTAGCTTTTCCCACCCTGAGGGTGCTGTTCATGGCACAAACAAACCATATTATCAGTTGCAGTATTGTGCAAACCTAGATCATAATTTTTTTCTTTTATTTTTTAAAAAACCACACAAGTTTTCTTCAAACTAACTCTGAGTGGTTGTTGTTGTTGTTGTTGTTACATATATTAGTCATATTTCTTTGCCATGGCAACTCAAAGTGACTTACAAAATGACAAAAAAAAACAAACCAAAAACAACCCACATATATACATTAAAACCAAAGAGAAAGAATACATTAAAATATCCCACCCACTCTAAAAAGCAACAGATAGTTAAGAGCCAAATGCCCGGTTAAAAAGGAATGCTTCTACCTGGCATCTGAAGGTATGTAATGACAGTGCCAGATGAGCCCCCATTTCACAAATGGGGAGCCACCATCAAAAAGGCCTGTTCTTGTATTGCCCGTCTCCTGATCTTCCATGGAGGGGCACACAAAGAAGGACCTCAGATGGTGACCACAGTCTCTGGGAGACTCATACAGGGAGAGACATTCCTTGAGGTATTGGGAGTCCTGTGTTACATAAGGCATTAAAGGTCACCTTGCCCCAGTGAGCAGCCTGGCTGCTGAATTCTGCACTAGCTGAAGTTTCTGAATCATCTTCAAAGGCACCCCCACATATAACACATTGCAGTAATCTCCTAGAGGTTACCAGTGCTTAGACAACAGAAGTTAGGTTATTCCTATCCAGATATGGGCATAGCTGGGCCACCAGCTGATAGAAGGTGCTCTGCACTACAGAGGACACCTGAGCTTCAAGTGATGACAATGAATCCAGAAGTTTCCCCAGGTTACATGCCAGCTCCTTCTAGGGTAATGTAACCCCATCAAGAGCATGTCACTTCCCATCTATCCTGTACATAACCAAGGCAATAGACATTGGTCCAGGACATCCACTCCACACCCTGCAGATGTAAAGGAGTAGCAGAGCTGTGTGTCCTCAGCATAATTGCTGACAATGTATTCCAAAACTCCAGAAATTGGGCCTAGTACAGGTGGTCCCCTTGTACCCCACCTTTTGGCAACCACTGGGGCCTTATAAATAGAGTATTAATATAGGCAGTGGTAGGTTTACCGTTACCAAGAAGGCACAGAAAGGCAAGGCCAGTGGTGGTTCAAGAAACCACTTTGGTGATGGTACATTCTAGATTAGGTTTTATAAAGATTATATTAGCCCAGTAGGACCCCACATTCTGGATTGACTAAAGCAGGTAGGAATAACAGGAGACCAATGCCAGGAGGTGAAGGTCATATTCACAGTGGTGCCTCGCAAGACGAAAGAATCCGTTCCACGATTCTCTCGTCTAGCGGTTTTTTTCGTCTTTGCGAAACAACCCTCCTTAGCGGATTAGCACTATTAGCGGCTATTAAAGGCTTAGCTGGCTTAGCTGCTAAAAGGCTATTAGCGGTTTAGAAAAAGGGGGGGAAGCGGGGGGGAAATACGCAAGCTAGCAAGACGTTCGGTCTTGCGAAGCAAAGCCCTAAGAGAAAATCGTCTTGCGAAAGCCAACTCCAAAAAACGGAAAACCCTTTCGTTCTAGGCGGGTTTTCCCATCTTGGCGAAGGCCATTCGTCTTGGCGGGGCACCACTGTAGTCTTTATTGTGACTTTAGAGTGTTCAAAGCATGTCACATACCTTTTTCTCTCGAGATTACAGTAGTCCAGGCAACAAGTAACCACAAATCTTAGCAGCCTGAGGATTTCCATTCTGATTTACTGGTGCTTGGAAACCGAGTGCCTTCTAAATAGTTTTTTGAGAAGAAGCTGGTTAATGAAGTAAAATGTGAACAATAAATGGAGGCTGCCTGGTTGGGATGACAATTTAGTGGATTTGTCCTTATGAGAGGGACACAGAGACCGATTTCCTTTGTTTATCTGTGCAGACCTCGCTTGGCTACACTAATGAATACAAAAGGGACCCACAAGACACTTTTACTGAAACGCTGTGAGGATGATGAAGCATCCACTTCTACATCTCTACTGCACACTGGGCCAAAAATGGCAGTGAAAAAGTTACTGTGCCAAAGTGAGAGCAAGTTTTTTTCAAAGAGACGCAAAAGTGAGTGCCTAAATCACAGGCCTTCAATGCAAGACCTTTCAGCAACAACTGAGAGAATTTCCTTTCACGCTTAGAAACAGGTGCCATTTCTTTTCAGGCAGCTAACAAGCCAATGCATACCACTGCAAAGGCTCCATCCGGATGGACAACCTGCAATGATATCTTCAGAAATTATTGCTTCAGTTTCTTGGATGTGGTGCTGGGGAAATGCAAAAAAAAAAAAAGTATCTTCATTGTACAGCACTTGTGCCATGCACAGGCTTGGAATACAGGATACAAAAATATGCTGGAACATCACCCATGAGGCTTCTGTGACAGATAAAAATGAAACCAAAATATGAACTCGTTTATGTTTATTGCTGACAAATTTTACAGGGAAGCAAGTCTAGTCATTTTACTTTTGAATTTCACTTGCTTTAAAACTGATGCTGTTTTTTTAAATATGATTAACTGAAAAAGGAGGGATTGGGGTAGTGTTTCTCAGTACTAAAACCTATTAGACAAATTAAAAAATCATAGTGAGGATCATCATCCAATCTTGTCTTAAATCTAAAAAGAGAAATAACAAATGATCCGCAGGAAGGAATTGCTTTTCTACAGTTAGTCAAAATGGTATTAAATTGGAGATTCCAATCAAGCACTGTATTTTCCTAATGGCCAAGATCTGCCTATAGTGTCTACTCACAAGTAAGTCCCTTTTAGCAAAGGTTCCAGAAATGTTAATTAAAAGTTTCCTTCTTGTAGGTTCAGCCATTTTATTGGTTCCTGGTGGGTACCTTTAACTTTGATACATAGGGTAACGTTCCCATTAGTTGCTTGAAATGCAGCAAGCTGCATTCACACAAAGTTGTTCACATCAGACAGGGGAGATGTCATCACCTGACACGCAGGACCTTTTTTGGTTTCCCCACCCCTGCAACCCCCCTGGAACTCCTGTTCATTAAGCCATCTGTGTCTGTGTGTTCATCTGCACCTGCACTAAGGCAGCTAGGGTAGGTTCACATTACTGTTTACTCCGCACCCTTTCTAATCAGTTTGAAGCTGGTTTGAGGGGGGAAACACATCAAACAGCAGTTTCTTGACAGTATTTGTTAAGAAACTACAGGATCAATTTGCATTGTGGCTTAAATTGTGAATGCAGCTTCAAAAATTAGTTGGAGAGCACTGAATAAGTAATTGGTAATGTGAGTATACCCTTACTTTCTGTTCCAGAGGGAAAGGGAAGATAAAACTTTAATTATTTCCCTCTCATTTTCTGTTTTATAGTTCTATTTTGCTGCTCTTAAAAATGGGGGAGGGGTGGATAATGCAAGACTTATACTGAATCCCACGCCCAGCTGTGGTATGGATTGGGGAAATGACATGGGTAAAGGATGAAATCTACCTTCCCTCAGTGCCATGGTTCCAATCTGAATCCACAGGCCACATTTAGCCTTTACAAAACTGAAGGAAGATCTCCCACTTGTTGGTATCCATCTGTCTTGAGAGACAATGGAGTGAGCCCCTGGGGGTGAAGGAAAACCTCTTTTCAGCAATGACATGACCTCCCCAGGGTGTGTATGGAGGTCCTCGGCTACCTAGATGACAAGAGTCCACTCAGCAACGCTGATGTGGTCCAAAGGAAAGCAGTTTGGCACCAGCTTGGCTGCAGGAGTTGCAAGAAGGTGGTGTACAGATGCCATCCAGCCATCTTAAGAGAATTCATCACAATCCCCAGACTAACAGGCTAAAGCTGCACAATTTAACAAAAGGCACAGAAGCTTTGAAAAACCGTTTACCTGTGCACATTGGACAGACTGGTGCTGCACTGTGAGGGGCTTCATATTCAGTTGTGCATCATAGTGCTACAGGGCATGGCAATGCTGTGGTTAGCTGTGCTGGTCCAGTCTTCTTACAGGATATGCCCCCACTCCCTGCATTTTAGCACCTTGCTGCAGTCCTCTTACTGCAGATCTCAGCAAATAAACCTGGGTACACCTGTGGATTGTTCTTTTTAGATTGGTACAATAAACTATTTGAAATTTGCATTGATGAAACCAATGAATTCAAAAGAGCCAACTCATGATACCATTATGAGGAATTGCACTGAGATCCCACACCCAGGAGTGTGCAACATGAAATGACAAGAAGGTGCAATGTGATGAGTACTTGTGGGGTTTTTTAAACACATATAAATCCGTATTGGTTATAAATTAGTTACCACCCAAAGAGTCTGGAATTACTGGGATAAATTTCAGAGCACCAGCATAATGTTTCCATGTGATAGTGGCCAAATTATGACCCTAGCAACAACCCACATCACCAGGCCATACGTATTATGGTTGAGCAATACTCAGCTGCTAAGTAACTTTATGCCTGCCTTGCAGAGGCAGTTTCAAGTGCCCTACAACAAGCAGCCCGGGGATAAAAGCCGTAGGACGACGTCAGAGTTTGCACTTGCATGCTATTTCTGCGCATGCACTTGGACGCACTCCTACTAGTGAAGCGTGCATCCCTCTTCTATCACGGTTCATATGAGGTTCTGCCCCGCTAACAAAAGCCTCCCCTCCCAACAAAAATCCTGGCTACGCCCATGTTATGGTGTATCTCTACAGAAAGTTTTCCGTTTTGTTTCCTGGAAAGGCTCTTGTTGCATTTAAGAAACCGCATGATAAACACACCCATTTCCAGGAAAAAAATCACCCCTTATCGCCGCCTGTTGTGCAGCTGCGTTAAAAAAAAAAGAAAAGAAACCTTACCCCCCTGCGGGGAGTTTTGTTTCGCATCCCTGATCAACTTAAAATGAAGCCCATTGATCACGCCTGATGAGATCAGCTGGGAGGTAGAGAAGCAAGCACTAGGTAAAACGTCGAGTCAACTTTCACACAAAAAATAGATCATGCAGCTTGGAGGGCGACAGTAAACGCTCCCCATCCGCGAAAAAGCCAATCAGACCGAAAACGAAAGAGAAATCTGCTGAGAGTGCGGCACGTGACGCATTGCTCTGCTTTCTCAAACAAGCAAGTAAACAAGCGCTTAGATCGACTTCTGCGCCGGAGGGTAGCGCATCTTGCCACCGCCGAGCTCCGCGAGCAAGTAAATATTCTTCCTATTTGCTCCCCGCTTGCTTGCGCTTTTCTTTTTATAACGCATGGAGAACTTTTAAAGGAATAATTTGGGGTTAGGGACGCGGAGATTCACTCCAGTATTTCATGGCAACCAGTTTGCTCGTCGTTCCGACTTTGGGCAACTCGGTGCTAAATCACTTTCCCGGTCGCTTTGCGCAGGTTTCCCCGCAACTCTGGAGGAAGAGAAGCAACGAGTGCATTTGCTGTCGATTTTCGCTTAGTGATGGTCTCGCTTTTCTCCAACGCGGGTGGGCAGGTTTTTCCAAGCATTGGAAATAATAAAAACTCAGCAAATAGTTTTCGGGGGGAGGGGGGTGGCTTCCAGCATGTCCGGCTATTTTCTGGCAGCGCGTGACAACGCTACTTCTGAAACACACTTGGAGTGCAACCCAACCCGCTTTAGGCTTGCTCCCGTGGCACGTCTGGAAGGCCTGAAGAGCGACGAGGGTTGGGAGAGGCATGGCGCACCCATTCCCATACACTTGGGGGTCGGGCCATATCTGGGACGAATTGCTCCCCCGAGGTGAAAAGGAGTGATGAAGGCCGAGTTTGGGGGAGGCATTTGGCCGCTCCGTGACGGGGCGCCTCGTTTTTGAGGTGGGGAGAGGGGCGGGTCAGAGAGCAGCGCCCCCCGGAGGTCAGTTTGGAAATCCTTTTTCTGCACCTGGCCTTGGTTCACCCCCCCCCCGAAAAAGACCCCTCAGGCTGGCTTGAACCTCCTTTCCCCGAGTCTCGTTTTTCCTGTTCTCTTCCCGAACAGACCCTGGAAGTTGCTTTTAAAGGGGCGTTTGTGTCCCTGTGTCTGTCTTAGGCCCACTCCCGTTGCTGCAGGTATCCTGCTTCTGTCTCTTCCTATTCCCCCCCCCTCTAGACCCTTAAGCCACTTGCCTCCCGCCCCGCCTCCCGTCCACTTGTTGTTTTGTCTTCTCGACAAAACTTCCTTCTTCCCCGCCCCGGGCGCACTATTGTTCTCCTTCCTGCTTATCTCTCTTGCTTGCCAACGCCCCGCCCCCAGCGAACTTTTCCTTCTAAGGTGCGACCCAGCCCGCTTCTTCTTATTTTGCTTTCGCTTTTGCTGAACATTCAGCCTCTCTCGAAGTGCGTCGGTGAATCTGAAAGCTTGCGAAGTGAGTAAACATTAACTATTTTAGGTGATGATTGCTCCTGCAGGCGGCTCTCGTCTTCAAAGCCCCTTGGCCGTGCGATCTCCTGTTTATTTCTCCTCCGTCTTTGGGAAAAATGCACGCAGTCTCCCTAGGGCTTGTGGTCTTGTCCGCAAGTGGGGGGGGGGGCGTCAGTCCTCCCATCCCTAATGGCAGAACGCCGAGATTTCAAATGCTCAAAAATGGTTTATTATAGCCTTTGTAGAGCTGGAGATACCTATTGGGCAAAGTCTGGTTTGTTTGGTTTCTATCTTTCCTGTTTTTAGCCAATAAGCGAAGTGGTAGTAATGATTGACATTTAGGTGGGAAAGCATCTAGCCAATTAGACAAAAACGGAGTCTACAGTACAGGCGTTGGAAAGTACTGTTTTCATCTTATTTTAAGACTGTTTGTGCTCCCTGGAGGATGATTGCTGTTGCCCTGTAGAAAATGGTTCAGATATTCAGAATTTCAACACTTGCTTTCACCTGCCTCCTGCCTGGAGGGGTATTGTTCTTGCCATTTGGATGTTTTGTATTTTATTGTTAGGTATTGTTTCTGTGTTTGTTAACATAAGATGTTTGTTTGATATTAGTGTTTAAATCATGTTCTGTTTTGTAACTTAATGAATCACCTTAACTTAATGAATCACCTTAAAATAATTAACTCTGCTAGTGCCAATGTAGGTAAAAGTCCTCTTTTGCATCTGCTCCCCTCCATCTTCTCTATCTGCTGTCCTTTCTGATGTCAGGGTATCCTAGGGAATTGAAAATTCTAAATACCGTACTATAGTGTAAATCAAAGGTGCTCTTGCCTACAGAGACTTCTGCAGATCTTGCTTTTTAAATCATGTATAATTTAGTTGAGATTCCTGCATTGCAGGGGATTGGACTAGAGGACCCTTGGGATCCCTTCAAGCTCTAGAACTTTGCTGTCAATTTTTAAAAACCTTATACTGTAGTTCAGCAATTACAAAGAAACTAGCGAGTTGGGGACAAAAAACACATTCCAGCTTTAAGCACAGAATCCAAAGGAAAAGTGAGCCACATAATGTCTTAATCTTAAGCACCAACCAAAATAAAAACATATTTTTGTATACATCCAGGCTTAACTGGCATCTGTTTGGCTTCTGCAAAGGAAAGGGAAGCAAATATTGCTCACTCATTTTTCTAGCTGATAAGGAAAAGCAAGTTAACTTGTGGGAAAGGAGTTGAAAATGGAAATGAGTAACTTCTAAGTAGTAATGACGCAGTTTGTGAAAATTTCCTCTGCAACAAGGTGGTGGCATTAAAGGGCATTTGGATGATAGCCAAAAATCAAATAATTATTTGGCAGGAATCATACAGACATTTAAAAAGCTACTAGTTAGTATATAGCACAAGTGTGTGTTCATATTGGCTAAGACTGATGAGTTTGCTCCCTCCCCCAAAAACAAAAAAAAAGGTGTATATGTACAAGAAGAGCCTTGCTAAATCAGATTAACTGTTTGGTTTAATTAAGTATCCTGTTTCCAACAGTGGCCAGCCCACATTGGGCAGAGAGCATCTTATCCTCCCAGAATCTGAACATCAAAGATGTATTGCCTCTGAACATGGAGTTTTCCCTTAGGTATTGGGAGGAACTTGGGAGGGTGCATCCATCCTTCTAGCTCAGTTCCAATTATGCAATCCAGCCAACTGGGACTCTCTTAAGTCCCATTTATTTCAGTGGAAATGTGAAGCACATTAAATATCGCCCATGGAAACCAGTGAAACCTCAAATTCCTTTGTATTGCCTGGATCCTGCCCTTATTTTTACTGTGCCAATTAAAATATGCTTCTTTCCTGTCACACTACTATATGCCTACAGGAGGGGTGTTATTTGGAATTTCCCTTGCCATAATGGCATCATTCTGGCTGCCAGCGCATCATTAAATGTTGTGGCCAACTCACACTTTGAGCAGATGATGACATGGTGAAATCTCATTTTCCGTAGGTGGCACAATGATGCATTCCAGGCATTGAGGAGGCCTTGATCTGCTGGTTGCTGTGTACTGGTTAGAACTAGTTGCGTCTTTTATAAAAGGTGAGTATTGGTCATCCTCTTGTTTCCTCCTCCACTTCAGTCTTTAGCTAGTGATTCCTCCAGCCTTGCATGGTCTTGCACAGTTTGATGTTGTAATGCATAGATTAGATTATCTGTGTAAAGTACTCTCCAGTTTAGTAGGGGTGGGGGGGGCAAGCATCTGGTAGCATCACATTGACAACTAGTATGAGTAAAACTTTACTAGAATATAGCTGCCAGAACTTAGTATCCTGTCAATTGTGTAGAAGTTGCAACCAGTTCTGCCTCTATCAGCAAGCAGAAGACAGAGACCTGAAGGGTATGAAATTTCAAGATATATAATGTATGTTTTACCACAGCATAGCATAAAATGATACAGATACCAGAGGATAGGGTATCATTTAAAATCCACATTTTAGCTTTTGTATTTGGGGTACCAAATTGGCTTGTACAACAGTCACAGACAAAGGAGCCTTATCAAGTGATAAGACAATTTACTAAAAAACTAAATCATGATCTTCAAAAGCTTTGTCAATTTTATCCTGTTCAGTTGGCCCAAAGTGAAAAATTGTGCTCTGTGACAGTTCTAAGTAAATAGAGATTATGACTTCTTCACCCAGCATAAATGAGTACCTGAGGAAAAATATCTGGAGCAATACGACAATAGTTACTCTTGGTTTTCTTCCACAGTGAAGCCTTATGTGTCTTGGTTTTCAAAATTTCAGCCAGATAACTTTAGCCTGGAGTGAAACCTTAGAAAGGATGTTTCCAAAGAAGCATAGGTAGTAAGAGACAAGTACACATTGGCCTGATTTGTATAACGTTAAGCCATGGTTTGTTAAACTATGGTGTATTAAACATTAGCTATGACTCGGCATTGCGTGGGAAGCCAGCACCTTGCTTTAACCATGGGTTGTTTGGCTACCATATACCAGGCGTGCACCAAGCTTTAAAGGCACAAGGCAAAGCAGCTAAAAATAAGCCAACCTTTGAAGAAACAAGCCATGGTTTGGTCAGTCATCTGCAGGGCAACTCAGTTAAACCATTGCTTCACAGATGGGCCATCAGCATTGCATTCACAGGCACCAGTGTTTCCAGCAGTTCCTCTTTAAACATGGCCCTATTTTAAACATGTCCCCATTTTCCCTGGGTGACAGGATTGGACACCTACCACCCCTTCTGTTCTGAACAGAGGAGATACAAATAAGCTTTTCACTGGTGGCTGATATAGGTGTCTGTTTCCTATTGATAGATGGGACATACCTGTACCATTTTCTGGTTCTGTCTTTTTACATTCTTTTAGATGTAATGGCCAGTTTGTAGTAAGTCATGCTCCCACAGCAGGCTTTTTGTGATGTGTCATGCCCCCACAGCAGCTGCCCTGTTACTGATATCCATGACACGTTCTCAAAATTCCAAGAGAGCCTTGCATGCAAACGAGGCCACCGAGTTCGATTTCGTAATCCTTTTCTTAGTCACAGCACTCCTAAATTACTCCGGTACCTTACGTACCAAATGTTACTTATATGTGTTGCAACTGAAAGTAAAAGCATCCTTCTGCATCAATCCCCATGAATAACTTTGCAGTTAAGAGTTGTTCCCACGTTCTTTACCCTTTGGTTGCGTAGGAACCACACATAGTTCAAGGTGGTGGTACTTCTTGCAGGATTTCACACCCACGCTGCTCACCTCGCCCTTCCCATTTAAACCACATTAATCTTAGCGTTGGGAAAAGGCCATTTGATGGTGCATCCATTACTGTAGTCCACAAGCAGTGGAATATGGCTGCAATCTTTTTTGCATTCCTATTCAATGATGCCCATGTCATTAGTGGCAACAGGAACAACATTTGAATGTTGCACGTCTCTCCCCACCACTCCCAGTGTTGATGACAGAGAACTCCTTGCAGTAGTAGCCTTTTTGTAGCTGTTTGAAAGCTAAATCACCAGCTGATGTTCCCATCATACAACAACAACCACCCCTCGAGTTGCTGCTGAGCGCATTAAAGATAAGCTGTGCACAGAACCTCTCTTGATGTTGCATCCTGAGTTATCAAATACAGATGATTGTAGGGATAGCATGCAAAGCCAAAATTGTGTATACTTAAAAACACATTTGGGTCAGTGGTGGATGGGATTGCCAAAATTTTCCGGGTCGCCCACCCCCTTGAGACTCACCTCTTTTGTTGGGGGGTGACTGGCTGGGAGGATGTGACTATAAAGCCGCTCCGTTTTTCCTACTCCTATGGTTTTTACAGAGTCTAGCCAACTAGCCAACCTTCATACACCTGTCAATCCAGACTGTCCCTATACATATCTACTAACCAGCCACACATTTTATCTTCTAAAAAGCTCTGGGTGGCATACATGGTCTCTTTCAACCTTTCCCTACTGTTTATCCTCTCGGGCTGAGAATATGACTGGCCCAATATCACCAAGTGGGCTTTGGAGCTAGGCTAAGCAGGGATTTGACCCCTTGAAACTGAAACTTGTGATTTTTTCTCCTACCAGGTGGCCAGGATGAAAATACAACCGAAATGCTCGAAAGACAATGCTAAGCCCAGCACTGGTCTGCAGAGGCAAAGGTTCAGCCCATGCCTTTTCTACCTGAATAATCTCCTCTTGGCAATTGGCTATGTAGCTCTGCTGCTTTATGCCCTCATCTGGAAAGCTGGGAACATTGTGGACGCTTCCACCAAAAAAATTGGCTTCTACAACTTCTGCTGGTGGGACCAGGAAGCAGAAAAACTTGAATGCTTCAAGAACTTGGAGAAGGTGGGCATCAACAGTGTTGCACTGGTGTTGTCAAGGATCTGTGTGTATTCTACGCCAGTCTTGTGTCTCTTTGTTGCCACTACAGTTTTGCAAGCCCTGTGCTTGAAAGACAGAGATGGATTCAAACTGGCCTGCATCCTTTTGGCCATTGGCAGCTTGATGTTGCCCGTTGGCCTTGCTTTGTTCATCTTCCACTCTGAGCCATGGATAAGGGTCTCTGAATTCGGCGAAGTTTTTGTAGCCCTGGCTGGGGCTCACATTTTGATGCTACTCCACTTGATCTTTATTGTCCTGTTCCTTGCACATTGCAAGGATGCTCTACCCAAAGGACAAATCTTTCCTGTGTAAATATGTGAAGTTCCTGCCTGGGATACCAAATGCTGTAGTGGATTTAAAAGATAAGTGGATCCTGTGACCCCGATGCCTTTCCAAGCCCTCACATGAATGATGAGCATGTTGGGGGGAAGAGTTGGCACTCCTAGCACAGAGATATTTCTCTCTCTATCTTATTAAGTGTTGGGGGAGGGAGGGAGAGATTGCATGATTGGTGCCTCCTTCAATCAAGCACTCATTTAGGTGTGATCAGTACATGGCTCTTTAAAAGTCAGCAGTAGCTAACTGCTGCTTGGCAGTATTGAAATTTTGCTGGGCATCCAAAATGTTTAGAACAAATTATTGATAGAAGATAAGCTAGTATCTCACAAGTCATGGCTTGACTTATAAGCCTAGTCATTATTTGTGGTCATCAATTGCCCCATCCTCTGGCACATGCGGGGGGGGGGGAGTTTTCTCATCTGTGCTGAGGTTTAGAGAAAGTAAAGTACAACATGAGTCACTCACTGCTTTGAAGAGACTTACCCTGCTGCTGCTTTTCTCCAAACTCATAATGCAAGCAAAAACTTGAGGATGGAGTGATCCTCATGCTGTTCTACCACTACCATGCTTATGTTGCACGAATTTGGGGTTTTGTTTTCTCAAAAAAAGTGATATACAGTGTTCCTTTACAACTTTTGTATTGATCAAAGGCGTTTAAAGTTGGACATGGTTGTGTCTTTTCTAGCTTTCAACCAAAGACAGGTTCAATGAACAGGAGCCAGGATTACTTCAGTTCCCTGTGTATAGATGGCTGCTAATAATAATCCATTTATTCATGCCATCAAACAAACGCAACGGTGCAGGGGGCTGCTGCTTCTTTTATGCTTGGGGTGGGGACCCTGCAGCCTTCCTGGTGCTGTTGGGACTGCCAGCACACAGCATGGTTAATAGGAGGGACTACAGGAATCTTACTGCAGGGTCACAGCCTCCCATCTCTGCCATGTGCAAGATTCCTGGTTTCTTTTGTATTTAGTTGTTTGCAAAATAATTCATTTAAGTATGGTTGAACACACATTGCAGACATCTGGCTGCTGCTGCTATCATGAGAATACTGATAGTGACTGATAAAAGTGGGAGCGTTCTCTAATTATATAGGCTGATGCGTAGCCATATTGCTATGTGATGCTGGGAGGTTTTTCTTTTCCTTCAGTTCCAAGTTGTAAACAAAGCATTTTGGGAAGCTTAACATTATACAATTGTAGCCAAAGAATATTTTTTCAAGTGTCTTGTGGCCAAACCCAAGTCTTTGTTACTTATACAAGAGATACTGAAATTAAAGGTTTGTTAAACACTACTCGGTGTGACTGATTAAAAACATTTTATCTTATCTACCAGTTCTGTGCCCATTTGAAAAAAACACTTTTTTTTAAAGTGCTTCACCAACATTAGCTTAGCAATCCTTTACACAACAGGGATGGACAACAGATCATCTGACCTTCATGCGTCCAAATTGCCAGTGTCTCAAATAAGGCATTATCTGCTCATGGTTTAAAGTTAAGTAAAGAAGATCTCGCGGACATATTTTAAGGCATCCTCCTCCTCCTCAGATTTGGTCTTCTCAATGCAGCCTAAAGCCTCTAACTCATTTAGGGGTTTGGATCCAACACTGGGGGTTCTTCTGCCTTGGTGGCTGCCACTAACTGAACTGCAGAGAGGATTTTCCAGCACTTGCTGAGGCCCTTGGGACTCATCTTCTGACGAAGTCATCTCGGCTTCCTTGGCCTTGCAATTCTAGCAAATAAAAGAATAATGTTAAGTACACATGTCTGCATATTAGGTAGCAATCTCCGAAGAGAGAACTTCCATCCAGCATGTGGGCCAAATTTGGACCACCAGGCCATTTCCCCTAAACCACATTTGATGTCCAGTGTGGGGGAGTTGGAGTCGCAGCTAGATCAGCTGCTTTTGCAGCTGAAACCAGCATTGACCTCCCTGCACAACAGTTGATACATGTGGGCGTTCAATCTTGCTTAGTTCAGGTGTGCAAAAGTGTGTTACCTGCAGGGAACTATTGCATACCTAAACTCTACAGGAAGCAAAACTGACTTTTCCTGAGCATCAACTGATGCATGGGGAGCGCCACTCTGTGTTGGTCAACATCTCACCCCACTGATGTGGGCAATATGTTATCATTACAAATATTTTTAAAAATAATGGTGACAGGTGGATGGCCACACTCTCCTGTCAAAGTTGGCTTGCAAAAGGGCAGGGAACTAAAAATGGAGGTCAAAAAAGTTTACTCACTCCTGTCTTCAGGGTACATAGTTGCCAAGAATGGAATAAATGCATCATTTTTATGTCCAGCCCAGGGAAGTAGGAATACATGCTTATTGTGAATGATGAGAGTCCATTCAAAATCCTGGTCCCTCTCTTCAAAACTGCAAGTGATTCTCCATGGCCAAAGAAACACGCTGGAGTCACTGCTGTGTTTCTCAGAGAAGGGAACACAGCAAATATAAACTACGTTTTAGTCACAATGTAATTCTCTGTCCTCAGCCAGTTCTACTGAGAGGGGGATTAACAGAAGAGGGTCAACCAAAAATCATCAGATGGAGTGAAGGTGCAAATACCCACAACTGGGATAACATGCCCCTAAGTCCTCACCTCGGCCATAATGCAAAGAGCTGCATCTACTAGCTCAGCTTCATTCATACAATAGATAGTCTCAAACCTGCAACAACAGCAAATAAATAAATAAATAATAAATCATGAAATCTAAAATCAACCAGACAGAAGATAGTTTGGAAAGTACATGCTTATACACACCAGAACTTTATTTTCTGCAACCAGACAGTGTTTGCCATTTAGAGATAATAAGGCTGAAAGCAACCATAGATGCACAGTAGCGCTATTGTTTGGTAACAGATTTTAGAAAGGAAATGTGTGTGCATTGGGTGGTGTGGGGAGCTTACAAACTTAACGAACGAAAACCTAGAATGGAGCAGGTGAGATGGGACTGGGCCAGGCTGCTTCCGCACCAAAACATTTATGAGCAACTGGAACACAAGCAGCACAGCCGAGGCCTACAAATTCACACAAGACTGCAGGCAAGCTTCTAGCTGACTCAGCATGATCAGTGCTGTTGGCATAGCAACATTGGCACCAAAATCTGCAATAGGTTTTGTTCTGTGGTGCACTCCCCTCCCTGCCACCTCTATTTAATGCTACCATCACTGGGCACACAACAACTTGCACGTGTTCAAAGTGTATAAGGCAATGCTTTCTAAACCTATTGATGATGGAGGGAACAAAGACAAGACTGCCAACGTTCCAGTTATTCTGCCTTTCTTGGGAGCCACCAACATAAAATATAGTCCATGTTTTATAGAGGAAACTGCCTTAAACTACGTCAGACCATCTAGCGTAGTATTGTCAACATTGGCTAGCAGCTAAATCTCCATGGTTTTGGGGTTCTCCCAGCCCTAACTCAACCTGCCAGGGAGTGAACCTGGGACCTTCTGCCCTACCATGGAGCTACAGCCCTTCCCATCGACATGCAGACAAAGTCAAACATATAGAGGGGAGACTGGGATAGCTCAGTTGGTAGAGCAATAGGCTCTTAACCTCAGGGTCATGGGTTTGAGCCCTACAGAAACTTCTAAGTGGAGGCCAAAGTGAAACCCAACCTTCCTTCCTTGGATTAAAAGAAACAACACAAAAGCAACTTACTTTGCCAAAGCTGCCTTCTTCCTTCTCTTTGGCTTCATCCCTGCTTGCTGTGCTGGCTCAGTCACCCTCTTTGTCATCCACGCTGGGAGGATCCTCTTAGCTGCTTCAGGAGACCCCATTTCCTTCTGTTCCAGAAGACAGGGAACAGCTTTCACAACATGGGAACTGAGAATCCCTTTGCAGCAGTGTTAATATTATTTATTAGGGAATAGTGATTGATCCGTCTACAAGAAAGGGGAGCGAGCTTTCTGATTCTCACAGAATAAGTTATATAATGGCTCATTTCAGTAGTCTACTCATACTAATTTCATGACATCAACAGGATGAGAGACAGGCAAACCTAGGAGACAGAAGAGCCTGGATTATGAAAGTCCAGCAGCTGTTGCTCAGGACAGGGCACAAAGAGGGGCACTAGTTTTATGTAAAAAGAGAGAGAAGCAATACACAGCTATTCATGGCTTGGTAAAATTTATAACCCTGTAACAAGCTCTCAACATTGTTTACAACACACTCACTCTTATATTTTTTGTTAACATCCCTGATCAAACCAACTGTACAATACAGTGCAGGCAACTATTAAAAACAACCCAATCAATAGCAACAGCCATCTCCAGCCTGAGAATGTCCAGCTAGGGAAACTTGCCTGAAAAGCAGGACTGACAATCTACATGTCTATGCAGAAGTCCATCCCATAGGGTTGAATAGTGCTTACTCCCAAGAAAGTGGGTAGAGGATTGTTGCGGTGGGAGGCAGGATACTGAGAAAGTAAAGCACTGAACATGCTTAGCAAGCATCAGGCCTGTCAAATCCCATCAGGGGCTGTGCCACTAGTCCATTTTATCAAGGGGCACATGGGAAGTTTGCCTGGAATGGCATTCAATCAGCTCCCGCAAGTTCTCTGGGAAAGGGGAAGAGCTGACCTCTCACCTCCTCTGAATTTCCTGCATAGATCGTTGTCCTAGAAAGAGATACCTCTGGACCAGGGGGTGAGGAAACTCAAGTCTGGGGGCTGAAGCTGGCCCTCTAGGCCTGTCTGGCCCTTGGATCCCTTCCCAGGCAACACCTGTTTCTCCCAAGTCAAACCCATCACTTCACACACACCTTTTGGGGCTGGGGAGTGGCTGGAAGGTGTCCTTGAACTCCAATAATGCCTCTTGCATGTATGAATTGGGGACAAAGAAGTGTGTGAATAAGTGTAGAAACTAGCCTACGGTAAATGTCTTCCTCTGCCCACTTTTGCCTCCAGCCCTGCCCACAGCAGCCTGCGGCCCCTGGAAAGCTGTCCAAAAGGGAATGTGGCCCTCGGGCTGAAAGGGGTTCTCCATCCCTGGTCTGGACTCTTGCCACCTGAGCGCCAATTCCCATGAAAGGTGATCTAGCAGCAGATAAATTTTAGTACATGCAATGGCACCATGTTGCAGGCCTGAAGAGAGAGTGGTGGAGACGCTGCTACCTATACAGGCCTGCTGTTTCCAATTGTGCTTCAGGGCAGGTCCCACAGGATAGAAACACAGAAGCAAAAGAATTAAGCAATGTGCCCCCTCCCCAATGTAAAACACCCAATGCAGACATGATTTCAGAGGCAAATAACAGTCTTTTCATTCACCCCTTATTTGCTCAGGTCTCCAAGCGCTCAGTTACTATCAGCGTATAAACAGAGAGAGATCAGTCTACATTCACAGTTCGTATATTCAGTCCTCAGAGACGGTTCTCAGGTGCTTAGGTGGGAGAAAAATGAGATGGCAAATACTGTACTAAAACGCTGTGGCCTCTACAACGTCGAGCTTTCCAGAGGTATTTGGCAGGCAACTTTTTACTAAGGATGTTGACTTGCATGTTTAACAATGCTTACTCCCAGCTAAGCAACGCTGCGCGGGGCTGCACCCTCGACCTGCTTCACCACAATTCCCAGGGGCGCGCGTAAGCCACTCTTTTTAACTTTTGCAAACAACGAACACTCCTCTAGGAAGAAGCCTCAACATTTAAGCCGGGCCCCGGGGGTTGCTCACCTCCTCCGTAGATCACGCTTCTTCCTCTTGCTCGCTCATCCTCGCACCCGACGCCAAGAACTGCAGCCGGGAAGGACTCTCGCCTTCAAGAGCGAGACAAGAGGCTTCCCCCACCGCGCGCGCGCAAACTTCCCAGGAACGGAGGCCGGAGAGGCGAGCGCCGCCCGAGAACAAGCGTCTCTTCCGCTGCATGTGACCCACCGGCTCCACCTCCCTCCCCTTCCATTGGCTGAAAACTCCCTCCCTGCAGCCGCCCTCCCGGGCTCCGCCTCCAGCCCGAAGCTGCGTTTCCGAAAGACAGCAAAAGCGGTCGTGCTTTTGAACTGCTAGGTTGGCAGGAGCAGGGACTGAGCAACGGGAGCTCACCGCGTTGCAGGGCTTCGAACCACCGACCTTCTGATCGGCAAGTCCTAGGCTCTGTGGTTTAACCCACAGTGCCACCCGCGTCCCTAGGAGAAGGGGTACAGTTCTTCACATTTATCAATTCTGTATTCCACCCCTTCACCCTAAGATCTTCACCCAAAGGCTTCGTGCCAAAGAAGGATAGAACTTTTTTTATGTATGCTACAGCAGCAGCAAGAATACTCATCGCAAAGCACTGGAAGACACAAGATCTACCTCCCCGGGAAGAATGGCAGATGAAGCTGATGGACTACATGGAACTGGCAGAAATGACTGGCAGAATCCGAGACCAGGGAGAAGAGTTGGTGGAAGATTGGAAAAAATTTAAAGCATATTTACAGAAATATTGTAAAATTAATGAATGTTAGAAGGATGCTGGAATGAACTTACATGGTTTTAGCAGAAAGGTTATAAAGAATTAAGTAAAAATGGATTGTTAATGGGTCAAAGTGTAAAATTTAAGGTTAAATTGCGTTAAGATAAATTATGGAACAAAATCTTGAGAAAGAGGGAAAGGACTTGCTGAAACAGCTAATTGAATTAGAATACAAAAAAGGGAGGTGTGAGGAAGTCGAGGAAACAAGTAAATGAAAGATAAAGATATGAAAATACTGGATGTGTTTTTTTAAATGTTGTTTGTTTTTAAATGTTTTTGTTTTTTCTTTCTTATTGCTTTGTTGTACTTTTTTTACTGTATTTTCTTTTATTTTTGAAGTATTGTAACTTTTTATTGTCTGCTTTTCTTTCTTTTTTTGTAATTGTTAAACTTTAATAAATACCATTAAAAAAAAAAAAGATCTTCACCCAAAGGCTTCTTCAGCGTAAAATGTTTTACAGAAACTTAAAGAGTTTCCCCTCTGCATCACCCTGTGATGAAGACCTGTGTTACTCTTCCCATGCACTGCAAAAGGGTTAGGCTAAACGATTCTCGTGGTCCCTGAAGTTTCTTGTAAAGCCGCAGAAGCAACACACACACAGGAAAAATGCAATGAAAACATTTGCTTTTAATAAGAAACACAGGAGCAGACACAGAATACTGTTAAGGTTTCACACAGGCCCTGTTTTCCGTTGGGATCTTTACAAGTCTGTATCGCATAACTTGGCACAATCCTGTAGGTTTATGGCCATGTGCTGTTGAGGACCCAGGAGGGGGAAACGGGGCTGGTCCTCACTGGAAAGAGCTTGTAGATCAGTGCATGCCTGCTAAGAGCATCGTTTAATTTAGGGGGGAACAGCTGTAACTGAAACTCCTATCTGGCAGTGGTTTGGCATCAGCATTAAAAAAGTTTCCAACCTTAGAGGAGAAAGCAACATTAAGACGAGTGGTTTAAACAGCCTCTCCTGCCCAAAATATTCTGAATCTAGATGGCTAATACTGATTTCTCCCCCCCCCCCCAAAAAAGTCAACAGTTTGTGCTTTCCTATCAGCACAGTTTCCTCTATGACTTCTGTGCAAGTAAAGTGGTTAGTTTGATCTTTCCATCCATGGAGGCAGTGAGGCAGGTCCCACAATCCATCGCTGTGCACCAGTCCACAGTGACCACCGGGGCCCTGTGTCCTCCCAGAGAGAGGCAGCTCTCCAGGACCTTGTCGTTACTGTTCAGCTGAAAGAGAAGAAAGGCAGGCAAACATCAAGAAGAAGAAGAGGAGGAGGAGGAGGAGGAGTTTGGATCTGATATCCTGCTTTATCATTACCCTAAGGAGTCTCAAAGCAGCTAACAATCTCCTTTCTCTTCCTCCCCCACAACAAACACTCCATGAGGTGAGTGGGGCTGAGAGACTTCAGAGAAGTGTGACTGGCCCAAGGTCACCCAGCAGCTGCAGGTGGAGGAGCGGGGAAGCGAACCCGGTTCACCAGATTACTAGTCCACCGCTCTTAACCACTACACCACACTGGCTCTCAATCAACACTTAGCAAGCTTCTGTGGTAGATTTCAAACTGGGGCCAGGGATTGCTAAGAAGCCTAGCTGCACAAACCACACTCATTTTTACCAGAATAGTGCTCTGTAGTTCTACGAAGGAGGTAGCGAGCATAGCCAAATCACTTGAGCTGGACAACCTGAGGGCTGCGATGAATGCCACTAGCATTTTCCCGTCATCTTTTTCATCTACCTGATTAGCAGCTTATGATCCAGGCCACGATCATCTATATTATACACATATTAGTATCTGGGCCCAAATAAAGGACTTTTGCCTAGGCTACCAAGCAGGGCCAGGGCAGAAGAGGGATTTGAGGTTTCGGAGGTCTCTGTCCAAGTCAAATATTGGGCTCTGCTGGTTCTCAAAAGGCAGTGGCTAAACTTGAGGGCATAATGCGGGAAGCAGTCCTGAAGGGCAGTATAGAAATCTTGAACTAGCATTGTCAAAGCTTGCAGGGGACATGCAGTAGGTAGAACAGGGAAACCCATAACAACGCAGGTATATTTAAGGGGAGGAAACCAAGAGGTCAGACACTGGCAAGGCAACCCAAATCCCCTTTGCTGGGGCTGGGGAGCTGAATTAGGCAGACATGCCCCTCTGCTCAGCCCTGCCAGCCTCCACTGGCCTGCTGCCTCCTGCTGCCTGCAGCGCGGTACCATACTATTTGTAAAAGTCCTTAACAGCTTGGGACCAGTTTACATTTGAGATTGCCTTGCTCCATATGTGCCCACTCAACCACTTCAAGAGGCAGAATAGGTGCCACATAATACCTGTTCTGAATTTGTAGGAACTCAATCTTTTAGTGTGGCTGCACCTACCCTTTGGAACTCCCTGCCTATTGATATCAGGCAGGCACCTTCACTGTACTCTTTCTGATGCCTGCTAAAAGCAATTTTGGTTAGACAAGCCTACTCAGATGTTTAGAAAGTTGTTGCAAGTTGTTCTAACTTTTTGAAAGATTTAAATTAATGTTGTTAATTTTTCTCAGTGGTAATTTTTGGTTTGGGGGTTTTTTTGTAAACTGTTTTGAAGGTGTTTTTTTTAAAAAAAAAAATCAAGCGGCGTATAAATGTTGTGAAATAAATAAAGAAATATAAACATCACTCCATTAGTGCAGAACTCCGCCTCCCACCCACTAAACATGAAGGCAGAAATGTCAGCAGCAATGTCCAGTCACACGCCTTGGCGAAACCCACAAGCAGGATGTGACCGCAGTAGCACTCTCCTGCTATTGTTCCCCAGGAGGCGTAATGCTACCTCTGATCCTGGACGTAGCAGATAACCTTTGTGACTAGCAGCCAGTACCTTGTAGATGACACCCCCATTGGAAGAACAGGTCAGCATGTAGTTTCCTTCCGAGTCAAATGCAAAGAGCCTTCCACGTGGGAACTGGACCTGCTTGTATCCGCTGTAGCCAGACAACACAAAGGGGCCGGTGGCATCTCTGGGAAGAGCGTATTCGGACACTTTGGAGCCGCTTTTGTGAATGTTCCACTGAATAAACTAGGATGGGGAACAAGAGACTCTGCGTTAGATGCCAGGAGGAAAACACTTGATCTTCTTCATTCTGCTGTGCAGTGGCATCTGCAGCTGCGGAGACAGAAATGACGGCTGGCAAAATAAACCCCAGGAAAAACACAGCCACTGCAGCTCCTGCCTTCAGGACACCAGCATTTCCTGTCCATGGGGTTTGTGCACCACCTTACTTGCCGCCGGATCCTTTCTGGGTGGCATTATGCAGATGTCACTGTCATCAATGGATTCTTAATGCTTTTACCTGAATATGTGGTTATTGACTTTATTTGGCTATTTCACATTCATGGTAAGCTGCTTTGAGAGCCCCATGTGCGGACAAAGAAGCAGTACGCTGATAAACGCAAATATAGATGGATACAAGCCCACGTCTCCCTAGAACCTACCTTCCCATCTTCTCCAATGCTGTAAACAGCATTCTCGTCATAACTGAATTCAACAGAGTAGACTTCCCCATCATGGGCCTTCCAACTCATAGCACATTCATGCTGCTGCATGTCTGAAAAGGGACATAAAAGGGGTGGGGAGTTATTTTTAAGTAAGTGTGCTTTTTTAAAATTAACAACAAATCTTCACAGAATTCTAAAGCAGCAGCAGGGGAAAGGCTCCCAAAACTGTAAAAGGACAGTGTTTCTTCCCTATGTCTGTGTAGTTGGGTGATTAAAGTGGTAGACTAGGACTTGGGAGACCAGGGGCTAAAATCCCCACTAGGCCCATGAATCTCACTGGGTGATCTTGGGCCAGTCACTGTCTCCCACAGAGAAGAAGGGCTGACCATCTAGTTGGCAAAGGAGCATATTGAAAGCTGCACAGAACATTCTGTGTGTGTGCATTTCTTGCTGCACACAGTGATCTGCAAAGAAGGGCAAAGGGGTGCTAAAGATACAGCAGCAAGGGCACTCTTCTGTCTCACTCTGCCCCACATCTCCCTGAATGAGGGCTCTCTGAAGGTGGTGTGGAGGACCAGAGGTGTTGAGAATGCTTGGAGCATGGAAAGAATCCCATCTGTCAAGTGCTCTCAGCATATCAGCACTTCTGCCTGAAGCAGGTGTCTTGATACCTCACATTCTTCTTTCACAGTGGGTGCCCCCACCCCCATTTGACATCCTGAGACCAAAAGGGTTTAGGATGAATACAACAAGCTATGACATTACAGGCAGGGATAGGGAACCTCTGGCCCTCCAGATGTTGCCTCCAGATGTCTCATGAGTGCCAGCCAATGGGCAGGGGTGCTGTGAGCTGCAGTCCAGCCTCAGACGCCCTGTTCTCTGTGTTACAGGAATCTAAGTTGTATTTCCAGCTGGCAATTTACCAAAGAGACGGATTATGCCATCCGCTGCTC